GCACCACTTTTTTTGCAGATGTTTGCCACACTGGACTGGAAATACATGTGACCAGTCTGTGTACTGATTGAATAACCGTTGTCTCCTCCAATCTCTATGTATACCTGACCGGTCATTCTCTTACAGTTGTGTCCTTTGGGTTGGGTGGGAAGGTACTGTGAAAACAAAACTTCATTTTCAACTGCAAAATTTATGGGTAATTCTTACATTAAATACATTGGCCCACATTATAGAAAAAGAAATCTCCAGCTCACTACTGTATCCTTAAATTTCAGTATTACTGAAAGAGAAGGCTTAATTGTGTGGATAGGAAAAGCTCAAAATGGAGAAAGTGGTTTTCTGGCAATTGGTCTCCATAATCAGTCTTTGAAAATAGCATTAACTTAGGAGAAAGTGTCTCTGTATCGATGATTTATAGCAATGGTACATTCTGTTGTAATAAATGGCACCATATCAAGTCAAAATCAAACTCTTATTAAGGCCTACCTAGATGGCAGGCTAATTCTGAGGATATTGACCCACACAAAAAATTTGTTGCTCTGAACTATGATGATATTAATTACCTGGGAGTTTTGAATATTAAAGATGTATTTTTTCAGGATTCAAACAAACTTGGGTTAATTGAATCAGGATAGTGTTTATAATGGAGATGAACACAATTAGTTTATACAAACTTATAGTAGTTACTTTAATATACTATATACTGATATGTAAATGTATTTGTTTTGGTAGTTATTTCTTTAGCACATTGTTTGCTGAAAATCAACTGCTTACTATTATCTGAAATAGTCTAAATGCTAACACTTTTGTAAACTTATATAGCTATAGATAGATTCTGGTTCTTTTTTGACACCAATTCATCTGTATGTTAAATTTTTACTCCATTAGTTCATTTAGTGTTTATTAATCTGTGAATTGTTTTTAAATAAAATTTAGGTGGGAATGAATTAGTGATATACACAAAGAAAAATAAAATAAGCAAGTGTTATTAAAAAGAAAATTATATTAGGAAATATTCTATTATATAGCTCATCTATAATTCAAACTTCACATTGCCAATTCACGATTGGCAATGTGAAGTTTGAATACTGACTTAAAACAAAAATTATGTGAATGTGGGAAGGCGTGGAAGGAGTTGGCTGGTGAGAGCTAAAACCTTATCTTCCACATTAAGTCATCAATAAGGATTGGTTTTTGTAACTTTAAATAGCGTATAACTATCACTTACAAATGTGAAGGCAAATATCCTAATGTGTAAGATACTGAAGGTCAAGTCTACAGGTCTCAAAATTGGGCAGAAAAAGAGGATCTAAATAAAGCCATTGTAAGTTATTTTCTTGATATCTGTACTGTTAAAAGGATAACTTGAGAAACTCAATTTTGCCCAATACCAGTGATGGATGTAATTGTGAATAGCATTTTCACCCCCACCTGCACTCCACCACCATTATTGCTGTTGTTAATGTTTTCAGTTTGATATTTATAATTTTGCCACCAAGAAAGCAACACATGATTGATATAAAGCACTAATAGGACTATGGAGAAAAGAACTTAATAACAAGCAGCATGTAAAATTTAAGAGGAAAAACATATAATTATCTGTTAAACGGACTACAAAAGGAGGGCTGGTGCAGTTAACGTCTAAATGCAAAATCTGCCTGCGTGGGCTCCAGGCTACACTACGAAGACACTAGGTAAGTAATTTGCCATTTGAAGAACTTTATGGATAATTTTTTAGCCTTATTTTTGCAATCAGAAAGTGAGACATTCTTGGAAGGCCCCAGAACTAAAACTGAGAACTTTGCACTATTGTTGCCAGACATACCATTCTTATTAACATTGAAAAGTGTGTGAGCAAAATATGTGGAATTCCAGAATGTCTATATATTGATTCGAAGGGGATTTTGTTTTTAAAAGAAACCACAATGTTAACCGAAAAACTCTGACCTAAACCTGTTTTGGTCCATACCACTTCATTTCACTCTTGAGATATTAAGATAATTGCTTGGGGGGGGAAAATCCTTGATAGTGATAATGAAATCTGACTTTTAAAGATACACATTTTATGGCAAGAATGCTGTTAAACCATTTTTCTATTGTTGGCGTTATTTTTCTTAACATCTAAACATATTTACTATGGACGTAGACATTTTATAACTCCCAATTTTTAAGATTAATTCACCCACAATTAAGCTACAGTTACTGAGCCAAGAGCTGTGATAAGTGGAATGGGCTCCAAAGTGGTCTACATCGGAATACCTGAAACCAGTAAATACGTTAGGTTACATGGAAAAGGGGAATTAATGTCACAGATGGAATTCAGGTGCCACCTTGGATGATCTGGGTGGGCCCCAGGAATCATAAGGGTCCTTAAAGGTGGAACAGGGAGCCTCAGAGACAGCTGAGACTGGGGCCCATATTGTTGGCTTTGAAAAGGAAGGAAAGGACCATAAGGCAAGGAAAGTCCATGGCCCCTGGAATATGGAAAAAGCAGGAAAACGGATTCTCCTCTAAGCCTCCAGGAAATGCACCGTCTGAGACATCTTAATCTCAGCTCACTGAGATCCACAGCAGACTTCTGACTTACAGGTATTAATATAATAAATCTGTGTGGTTTTAAACCACTGAGTTTGTAATGTTTGTCATAACCAAGAGAAAATAAGGGCTGCAGAATTAAGATTTGAGATGGAAAACTTGATAAATCTGTACAAGAGAACTCACAAGTTTTTGGTTGTATCATCCTGCTCACTTTAAGGAGTGGACTTCTCTGCAGTGTTTCAAATAGGTTAGCAGGATGGGGAGGAAAGGGCTGGGAAAGGTAGAGAATAACCAGGCTTCTTTCTGACCCTCTCTCCGGCTCTCAGTTCTCAGAGCACAGCTGCCACACATTACTGACTTCAGAGAAAAATAAAACTCAGCCAGAACAATATATTATAATAAACTACTGGCTAAGAGACAGGCAAAACTGACTTTAAGGTTTTCTTCGCTGATTAACCCATTCTTGTACTTTGCAACCAAAAAAAAAAAAAAAAAAAAATCTGTTGTCTGATCAACCTCCTACCAAATAAATCAGTAAAATCAAATTTACTAGCAACATACTAGTACATATTTGAAATCAAAAGGCTAATTTTGGAGGATTTGGTTGTGTGTGGGGGTTTTTAGAGGGGGGAAAAGGCGTGGAATTCCCTTTTTTTTTTTTTTTCCCCATTGGGAGTTGGATTTTTTTTTTACTTTATTTATTTTTAAATATATTTTATTTTATTTTTTTGCCCCCCTCCCTTCCTCCCACACATCCCCAGAGTTTTATGTCCATTGGTTGTACTTATGTGCATATATAAAAGTCGGGAAGGAATTCTTGACAATTTTTTCCTGATTTTGCAAAAAATGACCCACCAAATTAAGTTTTGTTTACAGTTTTTAAATTAGTTTCCAAAAGAAAAACAGACTAAAATTAAACAAATTTTACTTAAATACAAGTCCTCTGTTTCAGAACTTTTATGTTGAAAAACTTCAGAATAAGGATGACAAAAAAGATGCAAATTGTTGAAATTAGACAAAATATGTGGTTTTGAATTTCCGCTTCTCTCAGCAAGAAATACGTAACAAGGTTGATTCCATTTCAAACCTAATTTTTAACTCTAAATCCTTAAACTTTTTAGGATATCAAACATTACCCTTCTTAACTTTGTGAAGCCATTTATATTTTTCTTCATTAATATAGGTAAGTAAAAGTACCGGTTTCTCTTTTTGTTGGCCTCACTTTTATTAATCATTTGGTAGCCAATGCTTTAAATTATGTCAATACAATGTGTAGTTTATATTGTAATTAACTTTATATTTGGATTAACAATAGTCTCCATATGCTTTCTATTTCAAGCAAAACTGCAGTTACCTCCAAACCAAATTAGGGTTAATTACACATTTTACAGAGATTCACAACACATTTTTCATAAATTTCTGTGGTCTCACCATGATTAGTCAGCGTACCAAATTTTGGGAGTGACAAGTCTTCAGAAACATACCTACAAAGTGGGCTATTCGCTGCAGTTTTTCATTGGTAGTTCAAAATTCTCCCTCTTCAAATCATGATTTTTTTTTATCAGCAACCTTTAAGACAAAATGGTTTTCCCTTCATCTAATGCCTGACACAGATAGCTATGCCTGTATGTATGTTCTCGGCTGAGGTTTTTTAAAAAAAAAAAAAAAAGTATGAAAGTAATCAGAGCTTTAGAGAAGAAATTCTTTTACTGAATTTCAAATCACACACACAAAATAGGTGAGAAATTCTTTTATCATATTTAGAATCAAAATATCCCTTAAAATATTTACATTTTACAGTAAAAAGGATAGCAAAACACAAGATCATGTACAAGCTTAAGTATTCAAGTTCCTGAAGAGGCAAAAGGAAAAGGAAACTAATGGTCTACCACAAAGCTGTCATATACATGGTAACAAGTGCCTTCAGGAAGTACAGATCAAAGCAGGAAATGTTCTCCTTGGGCTTCTGATTCTTGGTCAGAAACTGCCCAATAAACTGATTAATATAATCTGATTATGAAGTTGCTTGCCTTTGTGTTGCTTCTCTAGTTTCTTTAAAAACAGTGCAATTTAAACAAACTTACAGAGTACACATTACTCTCAAATTAGTCATAAAGAACATTCACTAGAGGCAGTAAATATATTCCAGAGTTAACTATATTTACCAATTAAGGAATAAAACTAAAATTTCTAAGCCTTTATTGCATATTAATAAAACAAATCTTTGAATATACAGCAATGTAAAACTTTTAAAAATATTCCTATAGCTAGGACAGTTGGTATGAAGAAGGGATGATGAGCACTGGTACAGAGCACTCCGCACCAACACACGGAATTTATTGTTCTGCAAACCACCAATGGTAAGTCTGAAAGATGGCACAATCCTAGCAGGCAATCATAAAGTCTTTAAGATACAACATTTAACATTTACTTAAGAGTAATCTTGAAGCAGCTCGCAGATTTTACCTTTTGCTTTTAGCTCTGTCAGTGTCCCTATCTTTGTGGTATCTATCTCTGTCCTTTTCTCCTTCTCTGTGTTTACTTTTCTCTCGTTCTTTGTCCTTTTCGTGGTCTTCACTTTTAGGTTTGTCTGGTTTCTTGTCTACATTCCTACCATCTCTGCTTGCTTTTCCATCTGTTCCGCGATCACTGTGTGACAACCGTGGCCTCTCTTTATCTTTGTGCCCTTCCTCCCTGCTTTTCCTGTCTCTGTCCTTGTCTTGGGATCTGTCTCTGCGTCTATGCCTTTCAGATTCTTGCTCCCATTCCTTTTCATGTCGCTCTCTCTTCATGTGGTGTGAATCACTATAAAATCTCTGGCGATCCCCTTTACCCCTATTAAATGACCTATCTGGTTGCTGTTGGTCTTGCCTATTACCCCAAGGATCACTATGGCGCCTTTCTGGTCTTCGGATGTCTTTAGTCTGGAAAAAATTTGGGGGGCCTACATATCTTGATGTTTGTGAAAGGGGACCCATCATACGTTGCGGTTGGCCTGTCAGGTGAACAGGTGGCCAGGGAACTATGGGATTTTGAGCAAAGCCAAAGCCGGGAGGGGGAAGTAAGGGAGGTGGCAAATGTGGTGGAAATCCAAACATGCCTTGAGGGGGAAAATTAGGAGGCCCCGAAAATGGAAATCCAGGAGGACTAGACTTGAGATGCTGAAGGTTGGGTTGCTGTGGCCTCATGGGTGAAAAGTTCGCACTTGTTCTGGGACTGCTGCTTCTGGAGGTAAAGTTGAGGCTTTTAGAAGGAAATTCTGATTGACTTGGGTTTTCAACTTCAAAATGGGATGGTGGTGCTGTCGATCCTCTTCGGAACGGGTGCACAGTTTCAATATTTTGCGTTGAAATTTTCTCCTCTGAGGGTTTTGCTTGTTCTGTTTGAGAAGTGGGTTTGTCTTCTGATGCCGAGTTTTGTGCAACCGCTGAATCATCCTTCTGCTGAGGACTTGAGTTCTTCTCTGCAGAAGGCAACTTTTCCTCCGCCTTGGCTTGTTCTGGCGAGTGCTCCCTGTGTGACGGCCCAGGCAGGGTGTGCTTTTCTCCCTTCCCGCAACTCTCTCCTTCTTTGCTTTCTGAAGCCGTGACCTGCTGACTTCGTCCTGCTGCCTGCCTGGGATCCCTTTTCAGGTTGATAAACTGTGGGGACTTGGCTGTGTTAGCAGCAAGGTTTTCATTGCCACTCACACTGCCATCTGTGTTTCCTTTTCCTATATTCGATTTGCAAGGAGAACTGGTATCTGAAGTCTGATTATCTTGCAAATTATTCTCTTGATCTTGCAGCAGCTGGCTTTTTAATGGTCTCTCTTTACTCTCCACAACTTCCTCTTGTTTTGACTGAATTGATAAATTTGTTAGGAATACTTCTGTAGAAACATCGGGTGGTTTGCCTCTGAGACTAAGGCTCACCGAAGCTCCAGGAGAAATGGAGGATGGCCCCGTTCCTGGGGTTTCTTCGTCTACTGGTACTGAGTTACCTGAAGATTCTGAAAGATTATCTACTTTACCCTTTACCTCCTTAGCTTCACCATCCATTGCTACTTTATCTACATTCTCTGCTTTGGGGTCAGCTTGCTCACTGATAAATGGAATTTCATTAAGAGTCCTTTGTTCTGTCGTTGACTGAGCCTGTTCATACACTTCACCAGTAGTACCCAAAAGGCTCTGAAGTATATCGTCCACAGGAAGAGGCTTATTTGCTAATTCCAGAGTGGAAGGCTGATTTTCCCAGCCAATCAATACTCCAGGAAGAAATCTTAAAGGTTTTGGTGGCTCCTGTTTGGTGACTTCCACTAAAGGTTCCACTACAGCTGGAAGGTCTTCCTGAACAGCTTGCTGAGGCTTAGGTCTCTGCTTGTGTAATACAGTTGTGAAAGAATTGAAAAAGTCATTTTCTTCCTCTGGTGCCTCCTCTGAGGAAACTTCCGTTTTACTTTTTTTTTCAGGTGGCAATGCTACCAGTGCATTTTCAGAGGTCTCAGCAGTGTGGCTGGCACTAGCACTGTGCTGCCGCTTCAGTTTTTGGCGAATAATTAAGCCCAACAACAGATTAGGTCTATGTAGTTCAAGCCCTGCATAAAAAACATAAATTAAGTCAGTTTTGATTCCTAAAATAAAAGGTAAATTTCCCTGGCTGGGTAGATCAGTTGGGTAGAGTATCATCCCAATATGACAAGTTTGTGGGGTCGATCCCCAGTCAGGACACATATAGGAATCAACCTCTGAATACACAAATAAGTGGAACAACAAAGGGTTCTGGCCCCTCCCTCCAGTCTCTCTAATATCAATAAAAAAACAAAGTGTAAATATTTACATGTAGCATATTACAGCCTATTAAAAGTGGGTGTTCTTCCCTGTCAGGTCAGCTTTAGAGACCTGAATCCCAAGACAACAAGCAGAGTCAGTTTTTTCACTCTGGTCCCACCTCCCACTTTGTTTTATTCACTCTATTAAAATATATACCTACCAGGTCCATCAAAAGGCACGAGAGGGTGTGGAATTTTATCCGTGGCACCCAAAGGAATAAGGTACATGTCTTTAACCTGCTTCATGTTGTTAGCAGCTACCCCATAGCGTTTTCTGCTGCTGAAGTATGCAAACAGCAAAGTGTAAGAGATTTGATCTTCTTCAGTAACAGGTGTGAAGCGAACCACACAAATCTCCTATTCAAGAAAATAAATGGTTGTTTAAAATTATAACCTGAACAATAGCTTGGTTTTAAATACCATTTCTTGGTATACCAACTTAAATAAAGGGAAGAATACTAAAACAACTCTTGGGAAAAGATTTTTGTTGATCCATTGATGGACTTACCTAAAGGTATCCAGTAAGAAATTACATCCCAAGATAATGTGTTCACAATAACACGCTTCTCAGTGGCAGAGATTTTTAAACCCAAGACTTTCTATATATCAATACTATATCTCGATTTTCAATGTTACAACCTCCACAGAGGGCTGACTGTATTCTCATCATACAGTAAATTAATGGCATCTACCATGTACACATACCCACAAATTCACTGATAATCCAATCTCAGGGACTAAATTATTTGCTAATTCCAGGGTGGAAGGCTGATTTTCCCAGCCAATCAATACTCCAGGAAGGAATCTTAAAGGTTCCTAAAATTTAGGAATTTTATGCACATAGACCATATAATTTGGAAAATCATTTGGTTTACTCAGGTACCAATGTGCTTACCTCTGGGTTCTTGGCTTTGTTTCAGACAAGAGTCCCAATTTAATAGTGTAAAAATCAATAAATAAAGAAGATGCTTTTTCACAAAGGTATACTGTCAAAATGGGGGAAACTAGATCTGCTACAAGCTTAAATTGATGCAGATCCTACAGAAACCATGTGATGAGCTGAACTATGGCTCTACCTCTTAGGAAAGGTCTGTCATCTAACCTGTCCTCTTTTAGAGGTAACAACTGGTATAATGTTTTTGTCAGTTCAAGTTGGAGGCATAATATACAGTGTTTGGCAACAATATAGGAAAAGATCAAGAGGGATTCCCAAAATGTCTGAGTAATACTACTACTTAATACTTTCCCATGACTTCTGCTGTCATGAAAAAGTGACAGCAAAAGAAAGCAGTTAATTTTTTTTAGACCTTCGAAGTTCAAACGTATTCTAATACTATCCATTTCAATTCTAAAATCTATATTGGAAAATATTCTTTTTAGCTTAAGATCCATTTTAGATTACTTAAAAAAAAAGTTTGCTTACTCAAAATTTATCTTTTAAATGTCTATAATATGCTAGGTACTATCATCCTTGGTGGGAGAAACAACTTCTTCTAATGACTAATCTTTCCTGTATAGTACTGACAAAAAATAAAAATTATTGTTAAGAGTCTACTAATGACCTCCTAATATCTATTCCCCTCTTTTCTCCTCTTACAAAGAGAAGCCCTTGACTTTTATTTAGCTAGCACATGGCCATCCAATACTACAATACATTTCCAGAGATTCCATTTCCAGCCTTCTTAGCAGCTATGTGACTAAATCCTACCAATGGAAGGTAGAGGAAGTGAAATAACTTGCAATTTCTAGGTCTGGACAAGCGCTGGCCAGTGTGTCTCAGTTGGTTGGGTGTTGCCCCATGCACTGAGAGGTCACTGGTTCAAATTCTGCATCGGGGTTGTAAGGAGGTGGGGGCAGGAGGCATCCACTTGATGTTTTGCTTTCACATCGATGTGTTCTCTTTTCCTCTCTCCCCAAAAATCAATACAAATGTGTGTTGTTGTTGTTTTAAATAACTGGACAAGCATTCTTCATTTTTGTCACGGGTGCTGCAGGTAAGTCAGCTCTGACCGTACTTGACTGATTAGGACAAGTTTCAGAACCAGGAAAGTAACAAGAGAATAGGCTGGCTGGTCTCTCAATAATTTGTAGAACCAGAGCTGCTGAAGCACCCTGAATGAATGGCCTTCCTAACATAAAAAAAAAAAAAAAAAAAAAAAACTTTTTTATATTCTTGAGGAATTATATTTTAGGGTTTTAACCCATGCTCTAACTAAAACAAATGTCTATAATCAAAGAAAGGTAAAATTCCAAGATGAATCTCAATATTTAAAACATTTCTTTCAAAACATTGAAGAAGTCATTGAGAAAGCACATCGGGAGGGGAAAAGACACACAAAAGGAATAATGGGCTATTCTGAGCTTTAGTAAATGGCTTTAGTTCAGTTTTGATAACCATATTATTTAGATTTAGAATTTGTTCTGGTCCCCTCCCTAAGAGACCTTGTATAAGAACTCAATGGTTTACTTTCCAAATATTCTCTCAAATAGTATAGTGAAAAAGGTTTTCCTTACCTTGGTTCCTGATGCTTTAAGTTTTTCCACATAATCCCAAACTGTCTGAGGCGATATTCTGCCGCCCACTTGAATACTATCTGGCAGATCCTGTGGTAAAAATGAAGGGGATTGATATGTAGACATATATTCATTGTACGCATAGCTCATACAAGTTCAGCCCTATGACTGATTTGAAATAGTAATATAAAATAAGTAAATAAAAAGATTATGAACTGCATCATCGGAATGCAGACAGTAATTAGGCCTTACCTCAACTGTCAGCTCCAAATGAATTAGGTGGATGCCCAAAATACAGTTAAACAATTTGAGGTCATGTTCATTTCAGAAGGAAAGAGAAATAATGGCAAACATGACAATCCAGGAAAAATGCAGACTATTCGGGGAGACTGTTTTTTCCCCTCCCATACATCTGGCCCTTATTTGGTGGTAGTGGACAGGAGTATGCCTTAATCATTAACAGCTGATGCTTGATGATAGTATACATTTTTGCACAAAAAATATCACTGTAGTAACATAAGGTTCACTTTTTTTAAAGGCACAATTTTTCTGAAAACAATTAAAATTAATTAAGAACTGCAATTAAGAATATTTAAAACTTTGCCCTAACTGGTTTGGGGCCCAGTGAATAGAGCGTCAGCCTACAGACTCAAGGTTCCCAGATTTGATTCCAGTCAAGGGCATGTACCTTGGTTGCAGGCACATTCCCAGTAGGGGGAGTGAAGGAGGCAGCTCATTGATGTTTCTCTCTCTCCCTCTCCCTTCCTCTCTGTAAAAAAAAAAAAAAAAAAAAAAAAAAATATATATATATATATATATATATAGAATATTTAAAACTTTAATCAGAATACTTCTATTTTTCCCACGGACTCAAAAACCAAAAAGTATAATTAATTGATATTAAATTCAATTCCGTTTAAGTTATTAAATGCTTTAAATATTTTATTTGGGCTTGTTGTCCCAACCAAACTAAAAATATCCAGAAAGCAGAAATAGAGTTCTAGAAAGTAATCACATAGAAAATGGCTCATCACCCTGGCCCAGTAGCTAAGTTGGTTAGAGCATCATCCTAATATACAAAGTTTGTGGGCTCGATCCCCTGTCAGAGCACATATAAGAATCAACCGATGGATGTATAAATAAGTGGAACAACAAATCAATATTTCTCTAAATAAAACTTAAAAAAAGAAAATGGCTCAAAAAGTAGAATAATAGTTGTTTAAAATCTAAAGGGTTCCACAGTTCAGCACCTAATTATCCATTTTTTTAATATATTTTATTGATTTTTTACAGAGAGGAAGAGAGAGGGATAGAGAGTCAGAAACATCGATGAGAGAGAAACATTGACCAGCTGCCTCTTGCACACACCCTACAGGAGAAGTGCCCGCAACCAAGGTACATGCCCCCAACCGGAATCGAACCTGGGACCTTTCAGGCCGAGGCTCTATCCACTAAGCCAAACCGGTTTTGGCCTAATTATCCATTTAAAAGAAGAGGGATCTTCACATTGGACTGATCAAAAACTAAGTTTCTAAATAGTTATGGTCAGAAAGAAGAGCACCATGGGTCCACTTAATCTTTCGTATAAAAATGACAGACTATATGTAAAAATAATAATATTCATTAACAAAAAACATAACCAGTAAACTGATCAATATCAGATAATCACCATTACAATGAGTTAAACTAACATCAGCCTAATACAAAGACAACTAAAATGTATGATAGTCTTCAGAAGAATAAACATAGCCTCAGCCAGATATGGCTCAGTTGGTTGGAACATTGTCCCATATACCAAAATGTTTTGGGTTTGATTTTTGGTCAGGGCACATGACTATGTTACAGTTCAATACCCAGTTCGGGCACATATGGGAGGCAACCAATTGGTATTTCTCTCTCACATTTATGTTTCTTTTTCCCATCCTCTCTCTAAAAATCCCAATGAAACAACAACAACAAAAAGAAGCAGCACCCAGCCAGAGAGGCTCAGTGGTTGAGCATTGATCCGTGACTCAGTTGGATTCCTAGTCAGGGCACATGCCAAGGCTGTGGGTTTGATCCCCAGTAGAAGGGAGGTTCAGGAGGCAACTAATTGATGATCCTCTATCATAATTGATGTTTCTATCCCTCCTCTCCCTCCTTCTTTCAGAAACCAAAACATTTTTTTTTTAAACTTCTAAAAAAGAGCAAGCATAGATATGATTTTGGCTTACTGAATTACTGAAGAAATTTATTTTTAACTTTTGCCTTTATGGTCAGTGGACTGAGAATGGAAAAAGTTAATGTTAGATATGAATATGATTAATAGAAAAATGTACAGTAAAGGATCATTGATATATTTTCCTCCCGCATAAACATGGAGAAAAAACAAGCTTCAGTGTTTTAAAAATTATCATATTTTCTCATTTATCATACTGTATATAATATTACAGCTATTTATTATCCATAAATATTACATCATAGTTCTTATTCCCTCAGATAAAGAATAGCCAAGCTCTTGGCCCCCTCCTCTCTTGCTGCTCAAGCTCCCACACACAACAGACTGATGGCCGGAAAGTAGTCTGATTCTGTACTGGATCCAGCTTCACCATGGCATGGAAACTCGGGTCACTGGCTTTGCTTTTAGCTCTACTAAAGCCCCAGCTGCACCTTTTCTAAGACTGGTGTAAGGGAAATGGGACTTTGAAAACCAAGGGTTATAATTTCACACTAGTTAAACTTTCTATCATATCTCAAAAAAACAGTAATAAAATAAAACCAGCCAAGGAAACCACTACAGCAACTATGGCCATTGGTCTCATGGGAGTGTCAATGAGCTCTAAAGTTTCAACTACAGTCTATATCTCACTCACAGAAACAGGCAGGTAAGAATTGTAGTCATGAAGCTGAAAAAGCAAGCAGTAGGAGAATTAGAAGGCTGTTAACAATGAAAAATCTTCCTGAAAGCTATAATATATAAACAAAAATTGTACTTAAAATCTTAAATATCCATGCATATTCTAACATGTGGATTTAATACTTTCAGAGCACAGTTTTCTATAGTTCTAAAACTCCATTTTGGGAACTCATAATTCCATTAACTGAATGGTTGAAGGATCAATGTCAATAAATATTTTTATTCTGAAAAGTGAAATATTTTTAACATTTTTGTGATTTTTATTATGTTGTTTCCTTGCCTACTGCTTTCAGAAACACATATGTCAAGAAAGGCAGAAAAGTTCAGTTACCTCTGTCAAGTACTCAGGGGAACCAGACACTGGGTAGGCTTTGGTAACAAATTTTGCAACAGAAGGCATGTTGATAAAACCTTTCCAGATGAAGTTCAATCGAGCCAAGAATGTAGACTCAACTTCAACAGTTCCAGGCATCTCTGGACTAAAAAAAATGACATAAAAAAGTTTTCAGCCTAAAAATATATTCATGAATAAATGTATTTTCTACATAGTCATCAATTATTTCTCTATTTTAACATGTCAAAAAGGCTAGAATATGTAAAGACTATTGATTTAAAAAATTTATATTTTCAATATATAAAATTATACTCATATTTACATAGTCATGCTTTACAATGTCATCCTTCTTAGTTGGCTTAGATAGAATCAATGTCCAGAGAAATGCAAACAATTTTACTTTAATGACCTTTCTCCTGCCTTTTGACATGAACATAATTAAAGGAAATTTTATAGTCAAGTCCTCACATATTCTTATCTCTAACTTTCCCAGTCTTGTGTTTTTTATCTCAATTAATTTAGAGCATGGGGAGATACAACTATTTTCTCAAAAGAAAGGTTCCTAAAAGAAAGGTTTCTGTTTTTGAAGAACTCCATGTAAGTTGGCAAATATTTATAATGATTATTATAGGTTATACTAAGAGAAAATTACCGTGGAGCAGGAGAGAATGTTGTTGATTTTGGAGACTCTTGTTTCTCTTCCTCAAAGAATTCAGAAGCCAAAATATTTGAGGTCGAAAACAATGCATCTGCTATACTTTCTGCTTCATTGTCTGAATGTTTACGAGATACTCCAACAACAACTTTCACCTTTTTTGGAGAAAGATCATCTACAGGTGGTGCCATTCGACCTAAAGCCAGAAGACACCAAAATATATTTGTGAATTTAAATTTCTGTAACTTCATTTCTACTCCTAAAGTTATTCAGTTTCTCTGACTGAATTGTTGCATGACCATACATTTCCTGGAGTAATTTTTAATCATATTTCTCATACTGACATATTATACTTCTATGATTAATGTGAAAAATTAGATAAAAAGAATGTTAAGCAGCTCAGATAAGCTGAAATGGAAATATAAGTAGAACTTAATATAGGTTTCTTGATATCCTAGCAAATTTTAAAAACTAAACTACACCAAATTCGAACAGTCTTCAGAAGTAATTTAAGGACTAAGTAAAACAATCAATATTCTACTTTGTGTAACATGAGTAGTTCATGTAATAGTGCAGTGCGACTTCATTACTAAACATGAAAAATATTAGTAAAGTTTAGAAAATTATATTGCTATTATATCAAAAAGCAAAAAAAAAAAAAAAAAAAAAAATCCCTAAAACATTCAAAAAATAAGTCTAATAGCATTCATTAACCAATGTTTCTGCATTACCATTACCAAACAATTGCTGTGAAAATATCTGAAATTAATATAAATAACTAAGAGTACTTTTATTAAGATTTTTCCCAGATTGCCGAAACCAGCTTGGCTCAGTAGATAAGAGTGTGGGCCTGCGGACTGAAAGGTTCCAGGTTCGATTCTAGTCAAGGGCATGTACCTTGGTTGCGGGCACATCCCCAGAAGGGGGTATGCAAGAGGCAGCTGATCAATGATTCTCTCTCATCGATGTTTCTAACTCTCTATCCCTCTCTCTTCCTCTCTGTAAAAAATCAAATTTTTTTTTAAAAGACTTTTCCCAGGTAAAAAAACTAACTGGGTATATTTATATACTAGTAAACATCATGGATAGCTTTCTTTAGGGATAACAATGTGTGTAAAAAACACTCTGACCTTTAGTCTTTATCATTGTACAGAGACTGCAAAATGTTAATACACCTAATTTTGGTAAGATTATTATAGGAAAATTACATAACATATAATAATTTTATCTAGTCTCTGTAATAGTGGAGAGCAACAATCAACTAATTAAAAGATTTTTTCATGTTCTGAACAAAGTATCATTCCTTCAGTATACTATAGTAAAAATATAAACATTGAGAACTATTCTCTCAAGTTTAAAAAAAAAAAAAAAACCCTCTTGATTCTTCACCTTTACGAATACATTGAATATAAATGTAAAATCTTCCTTAACACATTACCATTTCTTAGGCCCTAACTCCAGTCAATCTCCAACATGTGTTAATATTACTAACTTGGGTATTTTCTCAAAACTCCTACTTATTTCCATCTCCAATGCGACCACTCTAATTAAAATACCACCAACTCCCACTTGGACTGTTATCTATTCTTCTTCCTTTCTCTGTTGACTTCACTGTAATCTCCAGGCAAAGTCAGATGTATCTTCATACAGTTCCAATCTTATCAAGTCAATTCCCTTTTAAAACCATTAAGTGACTATCCACTGTTCTTGGTTAAAAAAAAAAAAGACAAAATCTTTAAAGTGGCCTACAAAAGTAGATTTTCAGTATGTTTTATTATCTCTAAAGTAATATTTTTACATCATGACCCATTAGTCACTGCAGGGGTGTATGTACATGTACATATACCTTACAGATATGCGTGTATTTATGTCTGCATTTTTTCTTATATATAAACTAGAGGCCTGGTGCACACAATTATTGCATCGGGGATGGGGGGGTCCCCCTCAGCTCAGCCTGTACCCTCTCCAATCGGAAATGCCCTCAGGGGATGTCCAACTGCAGGTCTAGGCAGGCAGTCGGCCATCCCTCCCCTCTTACAATCCTGGACCACTGGAACATAATTGCTCACCTACCTGCCTGCCTGGTTACCCCTAACTGCCCCCTGCTGCCAGCCAGGTCACCCCCAACTGCCCCCTCTCCCCCCGATGGTCTAGTCACCCCTTACTGCCCCCCCTAGCTTAATCACCCCCAACTGCCCCCCATATCAGCCTGGTCGCCCCCAACTGCCCCCCCCCCTGCTGGCCTGGTCACTCCCAACTGCCCCCTCTGCTGGCCTGGTCACCCCCACTGGCCTGATCATTCCACGCAGCCTGCTTGTTCAGTCATTTGGTTGTCCCTAGGGCTGGCCCTGGGCAGCTGGACAGCCAACATCAGAGGCTTGCCTGCGCCTCGGTCCAGCCCTGGGCACCTGGGATGCTGAGGAGACTGGGGGACTGACTCCTGGAGGTGGGCCCAGCCATGCAGTGCGCATGCTGCCACAGCAAGGCTGAAGGAATTGGGTGCTGCCATCTTCCGGCTGTGGACGCCCCCATCTTTGAGAGCGTGGCAATCAATAAGCATATTCCCACTTTATTAGATAGGATACCTGCTTTTCCTTGAAATTCTAGTTGCTAGATTTTATTTCTACTCTTATATCACAGTCTGCAGTTTGAAAGCAATTGCTATAAGATACTATGAAATCTGATTTCTAAATATCTCTTCAAACATATCATGTGCCTTTCTCCTTGAATTCAAGTCAAGCTCATGCCATTTCTAGTAGAACGGTCTTTTCCGCTCTTTGCGGGCATAGTTCTCAACCTTCGTGTCTCAGTGTAAATGTCAATTTCTCAGCCAAACCTCCCCTAACAATGCCAACTAGACCAGGTCTTTCTGCTACCCAAATACATTTATAACAACTGTACCTCTGTTAACTCATCACCTGTCTTTTCCATTGAACTACAATTTCTCTTAAACACTGGATTAGCATCTGACTGTTTCACTATATTCCTTTCTTCCAGCAAAGTGCCTGGCAAGGAGTAAGCACTCAAATATTTATTAAATGGATGACCAAAAATACAAATACTAGAGAAGCCATAGCCAGTTTGGCTCAGTGGATAGTGTGTCAGTCTGAGGACTGCAGTGTCTGTCACAAGTTCAATCTGCAACAGGGCACTTGCAGGAGGCAAACCAATCAATGTGTCCCTCTCACATCGATGTTTCTGTGTCTCTCCTCTCACTTCCATTCTCCCTTTAAAAAAAAAAATCAATGGACACATATCCTCAGGTGAGAATTAGCAACAACAAAAAAAGAATACTAGAGAAAAAGGTAATTTCTGACGTTACATTTATTACATATAGTAATACAATATGAATATTATTTCACTCCTTCACTTACTAAATGTCAGTACCATCGCCACTATCCACAATTTCTTAAGTCTATTGTAATGGTTAAATTTTAGTCATATGACACTGGATTAATAAGTTCAGATCTTATATAATACAACTGATTCTAGATAGTAAAGTACACAATAATATTAAATTACATGCGAAGCCTGAAGAAGTCACACACAAAAAATGTGCTATTGCTCAAAGGGAGTAGGTAGGTGCTTTATCAATTATACTAGGAAAACAAAAAGCTACTTAAATTACAAATACAAGTAACCCCCTTTCCAAGAGAAAGCAACATTTTAGGAAGGAAAATTCCATTTACCTATGCAAATTTTGCAGTTAAGATCAAAAAGATGTTGTCTGTGTTGACTTGTGGTATCTTTAGACATAGAGTCAATCTCCTCCTTTTGTTTTTCAGATCCTTCTGTTTTCTCCAAAGACTTGTTACCTGCCGGTTCCTAACAAAAGTTAGAGCAAAATTAGTTTTAGCCTCAATTAACATCAACTTATAGTTCATACTGCCATTTTTCTAAAATGAAACTGTTCCATTTACAGGTTGTTTTTAACTACTTTGTTAAATAACAAATGTTTAAATATTAACTGACGTAAACATTCCTTTCTTCAAGATGTCTAACAAGCCAAAACCGGTTTGGCTCAGTGGTAGAGCGTCGGTCTGTGGACTGAAAGGTCCCAGGTTCGATTCCGGTCAAGGGCATGTACATTGGTTGCGGGCACATCCCCGGTAGGGGGTGTGCAGGAGGCAGCTTGTCAATGTTTCTCTCTCATCGATGTTTCTAGCTTTCTATCTCTCTCCCTTTCTCTCTGTAAAATATCAATAAAATATATATATTTTTTTTTAAAAAGATGTCTAACAAGATTTAATATTATTTCCACACTAATAATTAAAAATAAGAAGTTTCACCAGCTCTCAAGAAGCACTTACAGCCGGGACTGATTTGGCTCAGTGGATAGAGTGTTGGCCTGCAAACTGAAAGGTCCCGGGTTCAATTCCAGTCAAGGGCATATATCTTGGTTGTGGGCACATCCCCAGTAGGGGATGTGCAAGAGGCAGCTGATCGATGGTTCTCTCTCATCGATGTTTCTAACTCTCTATACCTCTCTCTTCCTCTCTGTGAAAAATCAATAAAACATATATTTAAAAAAAAGAAGAAGAAGCACTTACACACGTCAAGGCCTACTAAGAAATTCACTACTCCATGAAGACCCCAGGAATAAACATTTTAACAATTGCTTAACAGCTGCCCATAATGTAGATAGTCTATACACTACCTACAGAGAAAAGATACTTTAAACACTCCCAGAAATCCTTTAAACCAGAGAAAATAGACTACTTTAAAAAAATATACATTTTTTGCTGAAATCGGTTTGGCTCAGTGGATAGAGCATCCGTCTGTGGACTGAAAGGTCCCAGGTTCGATTCCGGTCAAGGGCATGTACATTGGTTGCAGGCACATTCCCGATGGGGAGTGTGCAGGAGGCAACTGGTCAATGTTTCTCCTCATCAACGTTTCTAGTTCTCTATCCTTCTCCCTTCCTCTCTGTGGAAAATCAATAAAATATATATTTTTAAAAATATATACTATGTATATACATTTTTTAAGATTCTTCTACTTTAAGACCATTAGGCAAAGAAACCTTTTCTGGTTCTATATGCTTTGAGCACTATACAACACAACATTTTTATTATCTTTACCTGCTGAATCTCCATGACTGCTTCCTGTTCTTTCATTGGAGCATCACTCTCAATTTCTATTTCACCCTTATGAGTTATTTTTGTGATTGGTCGTCTTTCCACTTCTCTCTGCTCTTTCTCAATCATCTCTATGGTCTAACAGAAAATATTTTTTTTAAAAACAGAGCTCAGCAATAAAACAAAATAAAGTGTAACAAGAACTAGTAAAAGGTAGATGAGAATGGAAGAGGTTAAGAATGGGTAAAGATGGGTCTGATTATTTAGCTCCCCTTAGTTTAATACAAATCATCACTTAAAGAAATCACGTACAAGACCTAAAGATAAAACAAGCTGGTCTTTACTGCAGATGATACTTGCAGCCTCAGTTTCAAAGAAGAAAGGCGTGTGCATATTTGGGTTATGGAGAATAAGAAGAAGAGATACTATTTTCAAAAAATAAAACAGCCATGGTTGGCATGGCTCCATTGGTTGAGTGTTGTACCATGCACCGAGAGGTTGCCAGTTAGGTTGTTGATTAGGTTGTTGGCTTGATTCCTGTTCAAGGCAAGTGACCAGGTTAGGAGTTTGATCCCCAGGAGGGAGTATGCAGGAAGCAGCCAGCTGATTGTTCTCTCTCATTGGGGTGTGTGTGTGTGTGTGTGTGTGTGTGTGTGTGTGTGTGTGTCTCCCTCTCCTTTCCTCTCTCATTAAAATAAAAATGTTTTTAAAAATTAAGTAAAAGAACAGGAGAAATTATACAGTCTGAAAGTAAAGAAATACTTGAAAAAGTATAATATATCAAATCAAGGCCTTTGGTACTTCAAAAGAGTTTTGGCAGATCTACTTGGAAGCTTAATACCTAAGATGCAGATAAATATTATGAAGAATCAGGTAAATTGTGTAGTTAATATGAATTATAAGTAACCAGAACTTCTAGAATAAAGGGCTAATATTCTGAGACTACTGTAATAAAATAGTGGATGATGGGCTCATTCCTCAAGTCACATACATACTTAAATCTTTAAAGGTATCTCAAGTTCACAACCTTCAACTAAAAACTCTTACCATCAGTGACTTTCAGAATTTTTTAGTTTTAAAAATTCAATATGATGCACATATTGTATTTGTTACATAACATTCCAGTTAGTGCTACTTAATTAAATACACAACATTTCTGTGAATACATTAAGACATAGCAATTCGGGTCAATTTTATCAGTAAATTTGTTACAGGAAAAACATTTTTCAAAGCTTTTGGCATTTGAAACTTCAAATGAATTATGAACCTACAAAATTTTCATTCTGGCTGAAACCGGTTTGGCTCAGTGGTAGAGCGTCGGTCTGCAGACTGAGGAATCCCAGGTTCGATTCCGGTCAAGGGCATGTACATTGGTTGCGGGCACATCCCCAGTAGGGGGTGTGCAAGAGGCAGCTGGTTGACGTTTCTCTCTCATCGACGTTTCTAACTCTCTCTCCCTCTCCCTTCCTCTGTAAAAAATCAATAAAATATATATTTTTTTAAAATTTCATTCTGAATTAAATTAGGATCTACATATTACAAATATTCATAATACTGGGCTTCTGAAAGTCAAGATGTGACTAAGATAAGATGCACCAATTTTTCCCACCATCTGATTTACAAATTATATAACAAAACTCAAAGTATTTATGGTAACCTGAAAACTTAAAATGAAAAGAAGTAGCAGAGATCAAGAAAAATAAAAGATAGCATTTAAGAACAAGGCTAAACAACTAGAAGCCTTAAAAAATATAGACTTTGCCGAAACAGGTTTGGCTCAGTGGATAGAGCGTCGGCCTGTGGACTGAAGGGTCCCAGGTTCGATTCCGGTCAAGGCATGTACCTTGGTTGTGGGCACATCCCCAGTAGGGGGTGTGCAAGAGGCAGCTGATCGATGATTCTCTCTCATCGATGTTTCTAGCTCTCTGTCCCTCTCTCTTCCTCTGTGAAAAATAAATAAAATATATTAAAAAATATAGACTTTAATATAATCAAACACATATTCATGAGTAATCTTACATGTCTGTTTTCTCTTCGTCTCCAAGCAGCTAACTCTTTCGAAGCTAGTTCTTCTGGACTCATTCTTATAAGATGATCAGGGGTTACTTCTCCTTTCAGTACTTTTTTAAATAATATCTAAATGGGAAAGGGAGAAAAACATTTTCAAAAGGGAAAAAAAAAGGCTATCCAAAAACTTGTAATAAATAAGATGCAATTTTGAAAACTGACTTATAATTGTTTTATAATTTACATATTGCCTACCCCAAGACTACATAACAGCCTTGTAGCCTAGGAGCTTATCTAAGGCAGCAAAATACACATCTCACAAAAAGCAACACATGATGCTGGAAACATTACAACATCTATCCCAAAGCTGTATTATGTATTCCTAAGAACATATTGTCCTAACAGACAAAGTAATATATAAAAGAGCTTTACAAAATATGATGTCTTTCTTATTTTTAAGATTCCATATGTTTAAATCCTAATAGGCCTGGAGGAATTCCAGAAGGAAGAACCAACTGCAAGAAAGGAACCTATAAGAAGTAATCTCTTTTTTTTTTTTTTTAAATATATATTTTATTGATTTTTTTACAGAGAGAAAGGGAGAGAAATAGAGAGCTAGAAACATCAATGAGAGAGAATCATCGATTAGCTGCCTCTTGCACACCTACTACTGGGGATGTGCCTGCAACCAACGTACATGCCCTTGACCGGAATCCAACCCGGGACCATTCAGTCCGCAGGCCGATGCTCTATCCACTGAGCCAAACCGGTCCCGGCATATAAGAAGTAATTTCTTATCGAAGATAAACTTCCAGATTACACAACTCAAAAAGTAGCCAAGACCTGTTTGGCTCAGTGGATAGAGCATTGGCCTGTGGACTGGGGGGTCCCGGGTTCGATTCCAGTCAAGGGCATGTACTTTGGTTGTGGGCACATCCCTGGTTGGGGGTGTGCAGGAGGCAGCTGATCGATGTTTCTCTCTCATCGATATTTTTGGCTCTCTATCCCTCTCCCTTCCTCTCTGTAAAAAAATCAATAAAGTATATTTAAAAAAAAAAAAAAAAAGTAATAGATCCCCTAGACCCATGGTGGACAAACTGCAGCTCGCGAGCCACAATGCGGCTCGGCTCTTTGGCCCCTTGAGTGTGGCTCTTCCACAAAATACCATGGCATGGGCGAGTCTATTCTGAAGAAGTGGCGTTAGAAGAAGTTTTTAAAATTTGGCTCTCAAAAGTAATTTCAATAGTTGTACTGTTGATATTTGGCTCTGCTGACTAAGGAGTTTGCCGACCACTGCTCTAGACCATAACGTGAGATTCTGCACTGTAGAATTCTCTTAAGTAGCTGTTAGAAACATTTCAAGAAAATACTTAAATCACATACTACAGCAAATATAGGTATGCAAACTGACTAATTGCTGTCATTTAAGTGAAAGCTTTGTCAAATTTAACCAAATATGCAAGGTATTTGCATCTACACACACATAACTTTTAAATTCTAAACCACAAACAAGAAATCCCAGGAAAAGTTAAGGTTTCATTGTGAATGTTTACACCACTGCTAAAAGATATTTAGAACTAAAGTCATATTTACTGTAATAAAAATGTCTTAAAATAGTTTTTTAAATCTAAATGCAATTTATTTTAAAGAATGCAGTTATTTTCCAATTTAAATCAGAAGTATTAAATAGTATTGTCAATTTTAGATTAATCATTTTTGAAGAATACATACAAATTCTTAACAAATTGGATTGAACAAGAAATAAAGGAAAGAAAATTCACATAAATCAGATTATGACAGATTTAGTATTTTATATTTTAATAAGCTCATTCTATAATACTAGTCACCACTAAGCAGAATTCAATCCAGAAGCAAAAGACTATTAAAATTCCATCGTCTCACTTCAAGAAATTATAGATCTATTGTATTACAATCTTAAATCTTTATGCATTCAGTAAAGTAGGAAGCATAAGTATCTATGAACATGAACAAAACACACTTACATTGTTTTTAGGATCTTTCAGATTGAACATCAAACTTCTATATTTGTTCTTATATTTAGCATCTGTGTCCCGAAAAAAAGAGAAAAGCTCTTTTTCAATTTTTGTGGCAACTTTTGCTGCTTTTTCCTCTGGTACCTTCAAATTTGAATCTGTAAGTCTTAAAATTAGAACAATTCAATTATTTTTCAAATACTAGAAGCATGTATTATTCAATCTCCCACAACAGTAATGTGTGTTACCTTTTCATCAGGATGTCTTTGAGAGAGTGTCTGACACTCTGTCGGATCTGATCTGCAGAGGGCTTGGCAGCTGGGGCAGCAGGAGGATGCACATTAGGTGATCCTTTTTCAATCTTCTTCTTTTTTACCTCTTGCTTCTCATGAGCACCTAATTTAAATAAATATGTCAAAACACATTACTTTGTTTTTAAAAACATATTTTTAATACAGATGTATATTTATAAACAAAATAAACTGATTTAAAATGACTACTTACTTCTATAACTATTCCATATTTAAATATTCTTGACATTCTAAACCTATGTATTGTGACAGATGTTAATTAGACTTACTGTGGTGATCATTCATAATATACAGAAATATTAAATCATTATGCTGTACAGCTAACACTAATATAATGCTGTGCCAGTTATACCTCAGCTTTAAAAAAAATCTAATTAAAATCAATTTTCATTAGAAATTAAGTGATTAACACGTGGCCCTAAAGCTAAAAAAAACAAATATCCTCTTTTCCATTTTAAATAATGGCTTTTAAAGCTAGTTACTTTTCACATATATGCATTAACTTTTTTAAAAACTATTTAGAAAATGTGGCTGAACTTATTAAATGAGCAAATAATTTAATGATCTTTCTACCACCACAAAATTCACAAATCTCCTCTGGTTTTAAAACAAATGTACTTGATTGATGTTGTAATTTGAATGCTCAGCTTTTCAAATGACTTCCCAATCCACCATTACTAATTCGTGTGCATCTCCAAAAAATGTCTAACATTCCACTGCTCTGACCTCCTATTACACCAACTTATTTATTCTAAAGTCTCCTTCCTCATTCTTAAACTATCATTTTTATCATCTATGCCCTCACTTTCCCACAAAACCAACTTTGATCAAATAGTCCAACGCTATTACTACTCCTTAGCATACTTAATGCCTTTATTCTCTCTTCTTTAAACTTCTGCATTGGCAAAATCACAACACCAGTGAAAACCAACTTCTACCCTTCACCGGAATAACCTACAAACAGCTGACGATGCCTGGAAAAAAAATAAATAAATAAGCTCTGGTGTGGACAGGTCTCACTTTAAATGTATAAGCCACAAATCTTAAGTCGATAACTCAATCTGTTGCCTTAATCCTATTAAATTTTCTCAGAAAATTTCCTCTCCTACTTTGAAAACATCTATTTTACACTGTTCTCCTCTCTTTTCAAACCAACAATCCCGTTCCTCAACTTCTCATTTGGTTTTTTCACTCCATATTTTTACTGAGAAAACAGAAAAATGTCAGCTGTCACATGTTCCCATCACTAAATCAACTTGTATCTGTCCTATCACATACAATCTTCCTTTTCTATGTAACCCTTCAACATGAATCCCACCCCCTCATCTCATGGATTTTTTAACCTCATCTATCACATAATATCTCCTATATCACCAAATTCTCTCTCTCTATGGGATCATTGCCATTAATGCTATATACCTATATCTCCTTTAAAAAAAAAAAAAAAAAAGCCGAAACCGGTTTGGCTCAGTGGATAGAGCGTCGGTTTTCGGACTGAAGGATCCCAGGTTCGATTCTGGTCAAAGGCATGTACCTTGGTTGCAGGCACATCCCCGGTGGGGGGTGTGCAGGAGGCAGCTGGTCGGTGTTTCTCTCTCATAGAGGTTTCGGGCTCTCTATCCCTCTCCCTTCCTCTCTGTAAAAAATCAATAAAATATATATTTTTTTAAAAACTCCTGGGGGCAGGCTATAAGAGGTCAATGGGACAAAAGGGGACACATGTAATACTTTCAACAATAATGTGTTTTTTTTAAATAAATAAAAATAAAAAATAAGGAAGTGTTAGATCCCACATCCACTTCCAGTTACCACACCATTTCTGTTCCCTTACACAGCAAAATTCCTTGAAAGAGTTCTCTATAATCACCACCTTGTTCCTCACTTTCCATTCTTCCATAAGCCACTACAATTGGCTTTTGTTCCCATTGCTCCATCAAAATCATTTAAATCAAGGTCACCAAGAATTTCTATTTCACTAAACCACATACTTAAATCTGTGTTAATCTTATTTCTTCCAAGCCACCAAGGTCTCTTACTGGTCCTCTTATCTTACTGGGCCAATTGTCTCTTTTTCCCAACTTCTAAAAATGTAGGTGCTCTCCAAGGACTTTGCTTCTGGAGAGCCTCTATTGAACTCTGTATATATCTAAGTTTGGACTTTAAATTACTATACACTGATAAATACTGTGATTCTCTATCCCATCATTCTATCTTTTCTTCAAAGTGTCTAAATTCTATTAAATAGCATACCATTTTCTTATCTGTCTTCTCCCATTGGTATTTAAGTGCCATAAGGGAAGGAGGTGTATTTTAAATTCATTAGTACTTCCCCAGAATTTAAAATCATCATTTTTAATTTCAAATAAGGTTTATCACAAAAAGATTAAAATATTAAAATTTCCCTAAATATTTTAACTGATAGTGTATGAAATGAAATATAAATACATTAGTATGTAATAATTTTTATTAATCTCACTACCTGGTTTTGAAGTTTTTTCTCCTGTGCAAATAACAGTTGTGGAATCTTTTGGTATTTTTTCACTTTTTTCTTCTGAGGATCTCCGAGGTAAAACTGGTTGCCCCATCTTTCGAAGAGGAGCTAGCTGCCATTTTTTCATTTCACTATCTCTACAGTCTGATGAGTTTTTACCTTCTCCAGATTCCTGAAGAAAAAAAAAAAAAAAGGTATTTAATTCACTAGAATTAAAACTTCTACACCAACTTTAAATATAAAGCAAGCCTCAAGAGATATATATGAAAAAAATGAAACCTTATTAGTATTACAACCTATAACAATAGTAAACATTTTCTAGTCTTTGCCCCAGTTAACTGTTTAAAGGGTTTTTTTTAAAGATGCACAAAAAAATAACTTAATTATTAGCAAAAAGCAGAATCACCATTCCATTTAAAATCCATAAGCAACTGTTTTCTACAGAACACATACTAGACTATTTAGTTCTTTTATATAAAAGAGAACTAAAAAATAGAGACCACATTACCAATACCAATATTAAAGAGAAAATTAGAGATATAAGTTAAGAGTTCTCTTAGTTGACTGTGGATATGTGAAAAGGAGGAAAAAATTAGAGAAACTATAAATCTATATCTATATTTTTCATTATTTTCTAAAACAAATCAGGTTCTAATCACCTATAATAAGTGTATCAGTTATGTTCTCAGTGTACCAATTGTGGCAATTTTAACCCCCATAAGGTAGAACAAACCTTCAGGAAACCTGCTACTCTTATATAACCCAGAAAGAACTGGTAGTAAAACTGGCATTCTGAGAACCCTGGGAGAAATCAGTCACATCATACTAGTGTTTAAAAACTGGGGAAGCCTGGCCTGCACGGCTCAGTGGTTGAGCGTCAACCCGTCAACCAGGAGGTCACAGTTCCATTGCTGGTCAGGGAATATCCCGTTTGTGGACTTGGTCCTCAGTGTGTGTGAGGGGCATGCAGGAGGCAATCGATTGATGATTCTCTCTCATCATTGATGTTTTATTCTCTATCTCTCCCTCTCCCTTCTTCTCTGAAATAAATAAAATAAAAAATATTAAGTAAAAAAGATGGAGAACACTGTATATAGACATAGAGTACATACAAAAACTGATTTTCTCCAGACTAGAAATCTTTTTTTTTTTAAATATATTTTATTGATTTTTCACAAAGAGGAAGGGAGAGAGATAGAGAGCCAGAAACGTCAATGAGAGAGAAACATCGACCAGCTGCCTCCTGCACACCCCCCACCGGGGATGTGCCCGCAACCAATGTACATGCCCTTGACAGGAATCGAACCCGGGACCCTTCAGTCCGCAGGCCGACGCTCCACCACTGAGCCACACCGGCTTCGGCCAGACTAGGAATCTTCTAATTTTATTTATTTATTTACTTTCTACCTCCCCAGATTTACGTGATAGCAGGAGCATATTTCAGTCAGTGCTATAAACCCGTCTGATATCAGGCTTGGCATACAATAGAAACTCAATAAATGGTTCAACATAAAAATCTAGGGGTAACAAGTGGTTTTTAAAGAACAGATTTCATAAACTAAAAGCAGGCAAGATTCAATGGCTCATCAAAAAGGAAGCGATTATCACTTGGATAGCACATGCATTTACAAAATCAGACGAGGTCTTTTTCCGGAAAGAGGGTGTTTCTCAAAACATTTACAATGTTAGTGTTTTTTTAAATGTCATTTTAGACAAGATGGACACAACTCAGCTAAATGAAAAAACAATGAGCCATATTTCTAAATGGCCAAAAAATTGTACCCAAGAAGTGATGAGTAATATATAATGGTAAAAGTAGTTTTCCAAAAGTGTGTTATAAATTCTTCTCAATGGAGCTTTCAGTTCTGTATCATCAATTACTTTGGTTCTAATCAGATCAACAGATAAAGAAACAACATATATCAGAAGGACATAATCTGATTCTCAAAAAGTCTTGACAGACAGAAAACAGTGGATACAAATATTTAGCAAACTGGAACTTAATCCAGATTTGTCATCTAAGGAGTGTCTGAAAGATCTGAGTTTATAAGTAATAGAGAGTTTGGAGAAAACATGCTCATGCTCTTAAATTGAATGGTTGGACTAAAAGATTTCCAAGATTCCTTTCAACTCTACAATTCATGTTCATTGTCTTTTGGGTTATTATACTTAACTCTCCCATGTACATTTGTTGCCACTATGTTTCCTCCCTAGCTCTATCTATAAGGATAACTAATTAGAAAAATAAACAAGTAGACAAAGGTAGACAAAGAAAATTTAATCAGATAATGTGTTGAGTCTTTATACATTGCTCCAATAACTGATTAAATATCTTTAGATATCTATTTACAAAATACTTTTAGAAGATATTAAAAATATAAAAATGAGGGAAAATTGGCAACTTTTTTAAAGTCCACATTTAAAAAAGAAAAATTATGAGGTGAGGGTTCCAAGCAAATACTAGGACAAAGGTAAAACAAATTAAGATTACTTTTCCTTACAGAGGAAAAAAAAAACAAAAAAACTCATCCATTTGAAAATAATGCCAAAAGTAGTTTAAGGATTAATAGACATTTACAGACTGAAAAACTTTTTTAAATTTTTTATATTGATTTCAGAAAGGAAGGGAGATAGAAACATCAATGATGAGAGAGAATCCTTGATCAGCTGCCTCCTGCATGCCCCACATTGGGGATCAAGCCCAAAACCTGGGTATGTGCCTCAATCAGGAATCAAACCGTGACCTCTAGATTCTTAGGTCAATGCTCAACTACTGAGCCCGCCAGCTGGGCTGAAAAGCTTTGTAAAGAAATTTTATCAGTAAGCACAATTTACAGTTAATACCACAAGATTGATCGATCGATCTCTGTATCTCTCCCCCCTTACACTCTCACACACACACACACACTCTCTCTCTCTCTCTCTCTCTCTCTCTCTCTCTCTCTCTCTCTCTCTCTCACACACACACACACACACACACACACACACACACACACACGGAAAATCCAAGTACCAGAGATTAGAAATAGCAAAAATAAATAAAATTTGTATCCTATATAATAAAGAGCTAATATGCAAATGGTCCTCACTCCTTAGACCCCTCGCGCCAGGGTCAGGGACCTGAGGCCGTGCCCTCCCCCGACCCAGGGGATCTGAGGCTGCACCTCCTGCCCTGCAGGGCTTAATGGGGATGGTGCTAGCTGAGTCTGGGTCTCACATGATTTTGAGGCGTGCGCAGGTAGGCGGGGACTTAACTCTGGGTTCCGTGGCACACCCCAGACTCTGACAGGAAGGAAATTTTCATATACATTTTACTAATTTTCTTTCATCTCTGACACTATTATAGAGAAAGGGCAAATAGCAATAGTAAAATATTTTCTCCAATTCCCTTTTAATGTGCATGAATTTCACGCACTGGGCCACTAGTATTAAATAAAAATCCATCCACTCTTATAGAAAAATAAGTTTGAAAATGTACACTAGAATAAAACCTAAGGAGAAATTTTAAATTCTAATGATGGGCTTATACAAATTTCTTAAGATAACAAAAGAATGTATTAGCAAGAAGCTCACCCGTTTTAAAATTTTGACCTTGTGCTTCACTGTATCATCTGTACATTTGGTTTTGTCATTTGTTGATGTGTGCTTTGATAATCCAAGCTTTTCACAGTCCATTGCTTTATCTTCAGTATGGACTTCAACTTTAGCTTGGTTTTCCAAAATATCTGGATCTGTTACTTCAGTCTTTTTATCTTCTTCAGCACAACACTTCACACACACATATTCTTTGTCTTCCTCTCCCATTCGCTGTGCTTGAGAAAGACTTAACCCAACACAGTCACCATGAAACCAGTCATCACATCTTCCACAGCCCACCATAAACCTGGAAGAAAAAAAAAAATACTTTGATACATTTTCTTAAAAATCAATGTCAAAAAGCCTACATTTTCAAAATTTAACTTTTTTTTTTTTGCATGTTTTCTATCTTTAACACATTCTATCAGTTCAACATGGAGCTAATTTTCAAAAAGAATATTCAATGAAAATGAAACTTTTCTCCTCTGGTAAGAGAAAAATACTGAAAACAAACAAACAAAAAAAAACAACCACCATAGGACTAAAGTAAATGGGAACTGACAAAGTATAGAATAAGATCTGTGATTTGATCATAATCCATCAAAGTTACATTGAACAAAAACCTTTTGTCAAACATAAAATTAGAGAATAATTTATCCAATGAGTAATTTTGACAAAAAAGCAGAAAACAAAAATGCAACTCAAAAACTAACATGATGGTGCTGAGTGAAATAAGCCAATCAATGAAAGAGAAACACCACATGACCCCACTCATTTGTGGATAATAAAGATCATTATAAACTGATGAACCAAAAGATAGATATAGAGACAGTATACCAACAAGCAGACTGTCAAATTACAGCGGGGAGGGAAGGAGGGTCTGGGGGAGATAATAAATCAACCCAAGGACTTGTATACATGCATATAAGTACAACCAATGGACATAAAACTCTGGGGAGGGAGGGGATATGTGGGAGGGAAGGAGGGGGGCAAAAAAAAAAAAATCAATAAAATACGTAAAAAAAAAAAAAAACTAACATGATGGAGTATCTCAAATTGTTTATTAACCATCTTAACTATGTAACTTTTTTTTTAGCTCAAAACATTGTGGTTCAGGGTATGACATTGAATAAATATATATATATACATATATATATATGTATCGCCTATGTACTTTTGAGTGTGGACTTCCTTAATTCTGACCAGATACTTCACCTAGTAAACTTTTTACAAAATAAAGATCAATATTGTATGTTAATGTTAAAAAAGGCTTTTTAAAGTTTTCTAAGCAACGTCCTTATAAAAGTTTTCCTTTCCTATATTTTATCTAAAAAATAACTTCACTAACCCATGAAAATGTCCAGGGACATGAGATTTATGACTCTAAAAAAGCAAATCAGCAATTTGAGGGAGAAATTACTTACATACTTTACAAACTACTGTTAAGGAAAACTACAAAACTCAATCATGTTTAACATTTTCATTTTTCAGGTAACTCATGCTATATTTGAAAAATTAAGATAGAGTAATTCAGGTTTATTCTTTAATGAGTTAAAGTCTTTTTTAAAAAATATATATTTTATTGATTTTTCACAGAGAGGAAAGGAAAGGGATAGCTAGCTAGAAACATCAATGAGAGAGAATCATCGATCAGCTGCCTCCTGCACATCCCCCACTGGGGATGTGCCCGCAACCAATGCACATGCCCTTGACTGGAATCGAACCCGGGACCTTTCAGTCCAAAGACCGACGCTCCACCACTGAGCCAAACCGGTTTCGGCGAGTTAAAGTCTTTGTATTGATTTTGATAGTAATAGTGTTACCTCATGTCAAAAGTTTTTTGGGTTTTTTTTTTCAAAACTCCTTTTAAAAAACTGTGGTCCAATAGGAAGATATTAAAGGTAAAGCGGTTATATGGCCAACTCTCCCCTAAATACACCAGAGATCCTTTTTTAATATTTGAAGTATAAAAATCATAATAGGTTCATTCTTTACATGGTATCCTGAAAGTTATTCCAAATATCTCTCCTCAATAGCAGCACTCTTGTTTTGTGTCTATTGTATACCAAGCTACTGCTGTGCATGAACGAAATTAAGACTTCAAGTCTGTAATTCACCATTCTTTACCCTATCTGGTAATGCCTGCGATGGCCTTATTAAGTCATCATTTCCCCAATGATCATTTGGCTTAAGAGGAAAAAGCAGCCGGCACCGGTTTGGCTCAGTGGTAGAGCGTCGGTCTGCGGACTGAAAGGTCCCGGGTTCGATTCCGGTCAAGGGCATGTACCTTGGTTGCGGGCACATCCCCAGTAGGGGGTGTGCAAGAGGCAGCTGGTCGATGATTCTCTCTAATCGACGTTTCTAGCTCTCTATCCCTCTCTCTTCCTCTCTGTGAAAAATCAATAAAAATATATTTTAAAAAAAACAAAAAAAAAAAAAAAAAAAAAAAAAAGAGGAAAAAGCAAAAACTCTTGTGCCTTATGTAAAAACAAAACTAGAACGTCTGGATTCATAACCCTTTTGTGTAAACTTTTAAACAATGCAGTTCGTTTGCAATATAGAAATTGTTTGTGTGGGGAGATTTTTGATGGGTCCATGTTTCAATTACAAGAACTTGCAGCCATCAGAAAAATACAGATGCTTAGAAGTTCTATTTCACATTGCAGTCGGAAGAGCTACTATTTCTTGAAAGCAATGTCTTTGAAATATTAAAGGAAAGCTAATATTGACTTCCCTTTATTTTCATTGTTATTAGAGCTATGAATTCAAGTCTGAATACTTTCAATAAAGCATTGCTTAAAAGCCTAGATTAAAACCAGTTCTAGTGTATAGATTCACAAAGACATATATTTCCTTCCCCTTTTTGTATTATTTTCGGGGGGGGGGGGGGGTGCGGAGGATGAGTATAGATCACACAGCTAACAGTGTTACTCTCCCGTTTTCTGCTGTCCTTGATATAGTTACTAATAGGTAAAAAAATCACTTAAAAGACTACACCCTGGACCTGGCCAGCTTTGTTCAATGGTTAGAGTATTGGTCCTTGGACTGAAGGGTCATAGGCTTTATCCCCAGCTCCATTTGGGGCGCATGTGGGAGTCAACCAGTCGATGTACCTCACATTGATGTTTCTTTCTCTCCTTCCCTCCCTCCACTCTCTAAAAACCATGGGGAGAAATATCCTCCAGTGAGGATAGAACATCCAGGTTAACTCTTTCACTAAAATCAAATGTGTGTGTGTGTGTGTGTGTGTGTGTGTGTGTGTGTGTGTGTGTGTAGCTTAGCTCTGGATTAAATGGACAAGTCAGCATATATCAATTGAAGAGTCTGGAAATATTTTTCTATGATAGGTTCATATACAAAGTTTTAAATAAAATTTTAAAAAACTAAAGAGATCCACAATAGGATAATTAGCAATTTAATATTCTAATCTTTCTGGCATAAGCCAAAATATATTCTTATAAATTTTCAAGTTTTTTCAAAGTAAGCCACAGAGGTAAGACTAAACTACTGTTCTTAACAAATTCATGTAATTAATTCACTGACAATGTAATTGTTACAAGATGGGCCTTCAGTTCTGTTAAGTGACAAATCTAGACATGACTGTGAATAAATATATATATATATATATATTCTTTTCTAAAAAAGTACAGTCCACATAAACTATAAGTCTATGTTTTTGTCACTAACAACCTAATCTGCAGAGAAAAATACTTTTCAAACAAAGTCTTGAGGGGGAAAGCCAGAATCATTTATTCTAGGCAAAAATTTCCTTCTCAGAATAAGGTTGCTTAGATTATAAAGCTTTGAATCCATTCAGCTAAAATGTCAGATTTCATCCAATAAGCTAATCTTCTATAACTGAACAAAAAATTGTAATATAAAGATGCAAATGTCTTTAGGACAACTACAAGGTAGAAAAGACTAGATTTGTTCCTTCTTAAATATTAACTGGCTTATGTTTAAAAGTAGTTCAAGCCAAAACCGGTTTGGCTCAGTGGATAGAGCGTTGGCCTACTGACTGAAAGGTCCCAGGTTTGATTCCGGTCAAGGGCATGTACCTTGGTTGCAGGCACATTCCCAGTGGGGAGTGTGCAGGAGGCAGCTGATCGATGTTTCTCTCTCATTGATGTTTCTATCTATCCCTATGTTTTAAAAAATATATAAAAAATAAAAGTAGTTCAAAAGTGACATTTTTTAAAAAATGAGTAATAAACAAACTGGTTTTTAAAATGTGTATGCCATTGTTAGAAAACTACAAAACCCAATCATGCTGTGCTTGAGAAAGGCTTAACCTGACACAATCACCGTGTTAGTGCTTCATCTAACCCCACTTCCCAAATCTTCAAGAAAACAGAATCTAAAATATGGACAAATGAAAAGACAGGCCAGCCCTAGCAGATCTGGCTCAATGGATCGAGTGTCTGCCTGCAGACTGAAGGATCCTGGGTTCGATTCCAGTTAAGGGCACATGCATGGGTTGCGGGCTCGATCCCCAGTGTGGGGCATGCAGGAGGCAGCCGATAAATGATTCTCTCTCATCATTGATGTTTCTACCTGTCTTTCACTCTCCTTTCCTTTCTGAAATCAATAAAAATATTTTTAAAAAAGAAAAAGAAAAACCAGGACAGCATGATGTGTCAATTGTTAAGAGTCAATACTAACTGTCTGTAGGACATGTAAACAAGCTGCTTATGGTCAAATATTACATTTAGCCATATCATGAACAAATTTATTTAAAAACAATTTCCACTGGAACACATTCAAGAAGCTAGCCTCTATTGGAGTACATGTAAAATGCTGAAGACTTATTAAGATAGTCTTTACAAAAGGAAAGCTGTCTTAAGTGCTAGAAAATGTCATATTAGCAAATAGCTTTCAATTCAATGGGCTAATGCATTTAATGAAAAAAGGTGGATGAAAATTATTTCCAGATATGCCCTTCCTAATGAATCCATAGTCTTATGCATGAATTAAAGAAAATTACATGCTGCATGACTGGAACATTCTTTGAGTAACCTCAATAAATATAAGCACAATGTGTCAACGTAGTGAAGGTTAGTTAATATGTAAAGAAAAAAACCAATCATTTATTTAGGGTTCTTTATTCACAAAATTGAAGCAATGTGTAATGGCTCTTCCAAAGCTGTTTTCAATGTTATTATTCATATAAACTACATAGGATTAACTCAAAATCCCTATACTGTCGTTTTCCAGACAGAAGCAAAGAAATTCTAGGTCTTAGAATAGAGCCAAAAGGCAGCACTCGATAAAAAAATAATAAAAATAAATAAATAAATAAATAAATAAATAAATAAATAAATAAATAAATATAAAGTGGGACTTAATCTTCACTTTAGGAAAATAACTGTTGATGTTGATCAAGTGAGTCATCATTTAAAAGCCTGAGCAAACTACTAAGGACCGATCATCAGAATAGAACTTTATCTGCAAAGAAAGTTACATAATAACACCTTTAACCTGGCTTCCAACTGTAGGCCAAAGTTTCATTTTAGAAACTCATTCACTCTAAGACTCCTAATTCCATTCTCTGATAACATGTCACTGGGATAGTTTAGATGATTCTGGAAGGAAGACAAAAGGGGCTGGCATAAAAGAGCACTTATATGTACCATCCGGCCCCCAATTCTCTTAGACCCAAAAATTCAGCAGGCCCACTTTAGAATATTTAAATACGGTGTTTTAAGTTTAAGAAAAAAAAAAAAGCATAAAGATGTAAGTGAGGGCAAATGTAACACTACATTCAAATAAGTCACAACTTTTAAAAGCTGAAATATGTTATAAAGTAACCATTCAGACCAAAATTAGGCCACAGGCTGAATCAACAATGAAGATAAACTTGAATTATTTTTTACAGGAATAGCCTCAAACTATCCACACACTTTCCCCAATTACATTTTCCCACACTAAAATAATGTACAACACATTTTACTTAACAGTCCTCCCCTAAATAGTTTCACTTATATAATCTGATAGTGCTGTGAAAGTCTTAACATTTACTTTCATGAGTAAGGAAAACATTACAATGTGTAAGTTATAATGTTCTTTTATCATTATCAATGTTGACAGAAGTCCCAACAGCAATCTGAACACTTGAACAGGATAATCTTGTAGCTGCAATATCCACTTCACTTCTTGTTTTCCTTTCTTAAAAACTAGCAAATAAAATAGATGGGCCTCGCCGAAACAGGTTTGGCTCAGTGGATAGAGCGTCGGCCTGTGGACTGAGGGGTCCCGGGTTCAATTCTGGTCAAGGGCATGTACCTTGCTTACGGGCACATCCCCAGTGGGGATTGTGCAGGAGGCAGCTGATCGATGTTTCTCTCTCATCAATGTTTCTAACTCTCTATCCCTCTCTCTTCCTTTCTGTGGAAAATCGACAAAATATATTTAAATATATATAGAGAGAGAAAGATAGGCTGGGATGGGGGATGGAGGAGTGCGGGGGTGTGCCATAAAACTATAAAACACAGAATCCCAAGGAAACAATGCCAAAGGACAGTGTTAAAATCATTTCTTAAAAGATCAGAATTCACAAGAAACCTCCAAATCACTAAAAATTTCCAAAAAAGAAATGTTTTCACTCCGTTCCATGATATATATAAAATTCACCTGTGTAATATAAGTTGTTTTAGCTATCAAGTTTCACTCCAACTCTAAGTTTGATAGCTATGAAGTAGTTACAGGAAGTTACAGTGTGCTTCATTTAACCCCCTCCCCAAATCTTCAAAAGAAAAATAGAATTTCCACTATGACCTTCACACTTTATTACTAATCCTTCTCAAGCCAAAGAAAATATATACAGACCCAAGGTAGTATAACCATTTTCTGATTAACAGAAAAGTTTTTTTGCTCCATATGTAATGACTAAATTACACCAACTGGTTACAATGACAAAACATCTCCACATATACCACGCCATAGGTACTTTTTAAAATATGCTAGAATAATATTTTTGTAAATTTTAGTGGCTCCATCTTTCTATAACTTATCCAGGATTGATGAGGGTTTTTTGTGTTTTTTTTTTTTGTTCCTGCAAAAGTCTTTGATGTTAATTTCTTTCTATTAAAATGTTCCCACTAATCCCACACTAAAAAAGGAATGTCTGTTCAATGTACACATCACACACACACACTCACGCACACTCATACACACACATAGCACACACACCTGTTGCCATGGGGTTTTTTGCAAAACCCACACTGCTTGCTGGGAGTCCACATATATTTGTTTTCAAACGAGGAGCCATGATCTGAGCCTTCTTTTTTTACGGTAGCTATGTTATCTGGAATGAACAATGGTGGCTCATCCAAAGAAAAACTTTTGCTGCTTCTTCTTTGACGGGGTTGTAAGTTCTTCTCAGGTTTTTTTGGTTTCAGTTTATCCTCCTCCTTAAAATGCTCTGCACCGCCTGCATGTTCAAGCTCTTCCTTCGCATGACTATTGGTTTTTACTGCTGGAGCCAGTTGCTGGGGCTTGTGGCACTGCTTCTGACAGGAATGTAATAAATGTCCAGTTTGTGCAGGATGATGAGGTTCTTTAGAGCAACCAGGCTGACCATGAGGCTTATCACCCAACCAATGTGTTACAGGTTTGGAAATCTGTACTAAATTTTGGTCTTGCATTTTTTTCGAATTGGAATGAGCTTGATTTTTCACAGACTTAACCCCAGAATTGCAACTCTGAATCTTTGAATCCTTATCAACTTGTTTTTTTCTCACTTTGACTGGCCTATGAGAATTCTGCTGAGATTCTAATTCATCGGCATTTCGTTTCACACTTTTGACACTAGCTTTAGTTTTGTTGTGCATTAATTCATGCTTCCCTGCAACAATTTTTTTCAAAGTATCTGTGCTCGTGTTTTGCTTAGAGTGAATTACAGGTTTTGTGTTTTTGGATTTTATGTTTTTTGATTCTAAGCAAGAAACACTATTTGATGGGCTGTTTCTGACATCCTGAAGGGTTGCTGTTTCATGAGACTCCATTTCAATACTTTCAACAATATTCAACTGTTTTAAATTTTGGTCAGGCACATCACAAATAGCATTTTCTACAACATTACACTCTGGTTCAAAAGCATTAGTATCAACCACCTCATCAAAGTTTGGTTTGTCAAATTCAGTGCTCTCCAACTGTTTATGATTAGACTCTATGTCTTTACAATAACCCAATGGTTCTAGTTCATTTCTATGAAGAGAGTTCTTAGCTTGATCAAATTCTATGGTATTCTTCAATTCCAAATGGCATTCATTTACTTCATCCACAGTGCTGGACAAACCTACAAGGTTCTTTTCGGTCTTATTTGGATTTGCATCACCACAGAAAGCAGCAGAGGATTCTGGTTCCTCAACAATTTGGTCACCTTCATGGGATAATTTGATCATTTCCTTTGATTCTTGTTCAACTTTTCCCTTTGCACTCATTTCTTCTACCATAGTCTCATCCACTTTATCTGAAATAGAATCATTCTTTTCATGTTCTTCTTTATCTGAAAATGTAAACAATGGACTAACAGTCTTGATTTTACATTCAACCAGAGGTTCATTTTTCTTTTCTTCAATACTATCACAAGTCTCTGAAAGGAGTGGACAATTTAATTCATGAGATGGCACATTTGCTTTATCTTGATTATTACACTTCTGCTTAGAATCTAATCCAACTTCATCCTTCATTTCAAGACAAGATGACACTGAAGAGTGACTTGAAGATACTGATTCTTCCGATACTTCAGTTTGTTCAAGTTGCCGACTGCCCCTTCTGCTCTCTTTATGATACTCAGATTTCGGCGATGTACAAGCTTCTTCTTTTGTCTGACACCTTTCTGGTTGTTTCCCCCCTGCTTTAGGGGCAGATACAGTCTTCACAGGTGCTTTTTTTGTGCTACTTAAAGGTGCTGCATTTGAACGCTTGGCAATAGTGCTTTGTCGCAAACTTCTTACTTGTTCTATCACAAGGGAAAAAAATAAAAATAACTTAGCTATTTCGCCATGTATTTTTATTTCAATACAACTTAAATATACACTTCTTTATTCTGAGCTACAAAATGTATATTTCAATGAAAAATGTCCTGAACAGTTACTCATAACGGTGATTTTAGATAGACATATTTATGTTAAATTTTATATTTTTCAAAGTTCTATAAATTCTGGCAGGATGGAAAACCTCTAAAATTTAGACTATTATACCTTATTAAAAAACCAATGTTTTCATCTCTTTTTTTCTTTTTTAATATATTTTTATTTATTTCAGAGAGGAAGGGAGAGGGAGAGAGACATAGAAACATTGATTGGCTGCCTCCTGCACACCCCCTTACTGGTGATCGAGCCTGCAACCAGGGCATGTGGCCCTGAATGGAATTGAACCCAGGACCTTTCAGTCCACAGGCCAACACTATATCCACTAAGCCAGTGGTCGGCAAACTCATTACTAAACAGAGCCAAATATCAACAGTACAACGATTGAAATTTCTTTTGAGAGCCGAAAACCGACTTCTGGGCATGGGCCACAAAGTTTCAATCACACTGTACGTGTGCGCCCACATGTGGTATTTTGTGGAAGAACCACACTCAAGGAGCCAGAGAGCTGCATGTGGCTCTTGAGCCCCCGTTTTCCGACCACTGCACTAAGCCAAAGAAGCTAGCGTTCTTTTTCTTTTTTTTAATCAAGTCTCTTTTCGATAAGAAACAGTTGGGAAGGGTACTGGGGGTGGGGGGGTAAGAACACATAAGTATTACTTAATCGATAAAGGAAAAAATAAAGAAATTAGCTGGAAGTAAAATAAATAAAGAGCTTCATTTACATCAATACCCTCCTAAAACAAGACTGTCATACCATTTTAAACAGTACATATTTTAAATACATAAAACCCAAACAAAAATTCAAGTACCAATAAAATGAACTAAGCCACCTATTACAAACAAGCTCTGTGTTTTAAAGCACAACCTCAAAAGAACTCTAATTCCTTTTGAATGCGCTTCACTTATATCACCATTTTAGTATCCAAATTATTTCTAAAAGAGGAAATGAAGTGTACACTAGAGTATCACATCAATAGAAAGAAAAACTACAATGAAAAACACTTAAACCAAGAAAATGTATCATAAAAAACAAAGAGTATGAAAATAATTTAAGAAACTTTCTCACCTTTAACAAATTCTAATTAAAAAAAAAATCTAGCCGGGACCGGTTTGGCTCAGTGGCTAGAGTGTCGGCCTGCGGACTTAAAGGTCCCAGGTTCGATTCCGGGCAAGGGCATGTACCTTGGTTGCGGGCACATCCCCAGTAGGGGGTGTGCAAGAGGCAGCTGAGCAATGATTCTCTCTCATCGCTGTTTCTAACTCTCTATCCCTCTCTCTTCCTCTCTGTGAAAAATCAATAAAATATATATTTTTTAAATCTATTAATTTTCCTCCTTTCCCTATATCTGTATATTTTATCCAGGGGAAGGAGAAACACAAAAGTGTGGGAAAATAAGAAAAAAAAAGCTAAGTAATGCACTAAGTTAAAAAGAAAAAACAACCCACAAACTAAATAAAATCAAAAACTATTTCCAAATCTATGCATATCCAATACTTCTGAATCAATTCTGTATAACTAAACACTACTGATTTTTTTAATTCCCTTTCCTTTCAATGCAAAATCCTACTATGCACCAATATTTAGAACACTTTCCTAATTTGTCATTCATCACTAAACTGTGAGGCTCTTAAAAAGTATAAAAGCCCCCATCTGTCTATAACAATCTTATGTGAGAGCATGCCCTTTTACTCTCAAGTGCCCCAGCTTTGACAAGAAATTATATGGTCATCCAAATCTATAATATTTGATCATTAGGTTAAGCACTCAGTAAGTTTTTTCTTAGTGGATTATGAACTGTTTATCACATGTTCAACTATATTACACTGTTAAATAACTAAATTTAAAAAAAAAACATATCATTGATTTTTTAGAGAGAGAGGAAGGTAGAAGAATAGAGTCAGAAACACCGATGAGAGAGAAACATCAATCAGTTGCCTCCTGCATACCCCCTACTGGGGATGTGCCCGCAAACAAGGTACATGCCCTTGACTGGAATCGAACCTTCAGTCCCAGGCCGAAGCTCTATCCACTGACCAAACTGGTCAAGGCAATAACTAAAATTTTAATGGCTAATTATTAGTATTAAGATAATGTGTAAAGTTTTGCGCCAGGACCGGTTTGGCTCAATGGATAGAGCGTCGGCTTGGAGACTGAAAGGTCCCGGGTTCGATTCCGGTCAAGGGCATGTACCTTAGTTGCGGGCATATCCCCAGTAGGGGGTGTGCAAGAGGCAGCTGATCGATGACTCTCTCTCATCGATGTTTCTAGCTCTCTATCTCTCTCCCTTCCTCTCTGTATAAAATCAATAAAATATAAAAAAAAAAAAAAAGATAATGTGTAAAGTTTTGAAGACAGTTTGTAATAATTTACAGCTCTATTTTATTCACCTGCCCTGACATAAATAAATGAAGAATGTTTAATATCCATTACCTATGTGGTTTCTAAAAATAAATTAATAGCATATTTAACTCAGGAGGTATTCAGATAAAAAAAATATTGGCCCTAGCTGGTTTGGTTCAGTGGATAGAGCGAACTGAGTGGACTGAAGAGTCTGGTTTTTATTCTGGTCAAGGGCACATACCCACGTTACAGCTCGATCCCCAGTAAGGGGTACCAGAGGCAGCCAATCAATGATTCTCTCTCATCACTGATGATTCTCCCTCTGTCTTCCTCTCTGAAATCAATAAAAAAAAAAAAAAAAAATATTTAAAAAAAAAATGGTTTTGCGCCGAAACACTCAGTGGATAGAGCGTCAGCCTGCGGACTTAAAGGTCCCATGTTCTATTCTGGTCAAGGGCATGTATCTTGGTTGCGGGCTAATCTCCAGGCGGGGCTGTGTAAGAGGCAGCTGATCGATGATTCTCATTGATGTTTCTAACTCTCTATCCCTCTCTCTTTCTCTCTGTAAAAAATCAATAAAATATATTTCTTTTAAAAAATGGTTTTGCAATAGTAATTGATTTGTTGAGCAAAGGATAAAAAGTCCCTTTTTCTTCTCTAAATATCAACTGCCTTAGTTTGAAGCCTCACTATATAGGCCAATAATATGCATTGTCTATAATATGCATTCTATTTTTTTCATTTCTCAAAGTCACAAGTATATACCAAATAACTGATTTAAAATAAATATTGAGAAAAAGTTGACAATGTAAATATATGCATCTAAGTCAACCCACTTTTCAAAACTCCACTAAAGCCATAAAAAGCCAAATATCTAAAAGGAAAGAACAGAAGAGAAAACTGACAGCTTTGGAAGTCAAACAAGGGATGATCAATGATGGTGTGCTCAGTGGTAAAGCATCAACCCATGAACCTGGAGGTCACGATATGAATCCCAGTCATGTCACATGACTGGGTTATGGGCTCCATCCCAGTTGGGGGCATGCAGGAGGCAGCTGATCAATGATTCTCATCATTGATGTTTCTATCTCTTTCCCACTCGCTTCCACTATGAAACCAATAAAAGTATGTTTTTAAAAAAGGAACTGTCCTAGCTGGTTTGTCTCAGTGGCTAGAGCATCGGCCTATCTTGAAGGGTGCCAGGTTGAATTCCAATCAGGTGTACATGCCCAGGTTGCACACTCAATCCCCAGTAGTGAGTGTGCAGGAGGCAGCCAATCGAACAATTCCCATCATTGATGTTTCTCTTTCTCCCCCTCTTCCTTTCTCTCTAAAAATCAATTAAAAAAATAAAAACCTCAACTCTCAAAAATAAAAAAGGAAAGAATGAACTGAGAAATCCAAAATAAGACCAACACTAAAATTTGACAGTGCTGGCAAAAACCAATACCATTAACCTGTTAACCAAGTGGGACCTATAAATATGTCAAATGTAAACAATATCGGGAAAGGGTGAAAAATATGTTGCGCCCTGAGAGGGACGGTATATATTTTTTATAATCTTTATAACTGTTTGTAAAATTTATAATTTTTTAATTCGACGTTTTCATTTTTTTGTTGGTATTCTTTTCTATTTGTTTGTAATTTTGTATTTCCCTTTGTGCTTTATATATAAATAAACAAAAAAATATATTACATTTATTTTAATTAAATTTAAAAAAATAATAATATAAAATTACGTCCACTGGGCTGACATACTGACACGTCCTAGTGAAAGAGTATGTGCCTGTTGTACGTTGCATAATTAAAAAGGAAACTCCCCGGTTAACAGGTTAACACCTCAAAAGGCTTAGGAATTGGTGACCTCAGAGATTCTAATGTGGGGGATGAAAGAAGGTGGTTAAAATTAGGATGAGTAGAAAGCTATTAAAGAAGTCGTTAGATCCCTAGCTTCCTCTCCCAGACTCCATCTTGTTTGGGCAACTCCCCTTCCCTGGTCCTAATCCAAGACTGAAAGATTTATTCTGTGCAGAGTGTAAAACAGAGTTTCTAGGCTAAGGAACATCAATCACAGATAAGAGTTGAAGAGTTAAGTACACTGAAATTTGTAAGATTAAGTGAATGTATATATACAGAAGTGTGATACATCCCAGTCAATTTCTCTCAAGGGCTCCCATAATATATATAAGTAATCTAATGAGCCTAAGGGGAATAACCTAAATTCTGACATCAGGATTTCTAAAAAAAAAAAAAAACACAGGCAGATCACCATACAGCAATGCTCAGAGTTATTAACAAAACCCAATCTCCACATTAAAAGGTTCCATACAATTTTAGTTCCCTACTCCAAAATGACAACATGGAAAAAAATGAACTATAACTGAAAAAAAGACAAACTTTAAAATACCATAAATAAAACAAGATATAGCATACATAAAAGAAGACTAAAATGCTACAGAAAGACTATTCCCAAAGTTAAAAAAAAAAAAAAAAAGAACATTCACAATTATAAATGCAAATCTTAATGGAAAAGTCAGAGGACAAATATGAGAAAATTTCAGCAAATAGAGGAAAAAGAGACTGAGGTGGAAAGTAGGCAAGATAAAGAAAATGGAAAGCCTAGTCCTTGCTATCTAACACTTTAGAATAATAGAAGTTCCAGAAAGCAAGAGCAGAGAAATGAAGAAGGGAATTACCAATGAAACAATTCAAGAAATGTTCCCAGAATTGAATAATAACAGTTTCAGACTAAAGAGACTTACCAAGCTCAATATATAAAACATACCTACACCAAGATGAACCAATATCAGAAATATTAAAGCACTAGAGCTGATGAGGAAGAAATTCCACTAAGTTCCAGAAGAAAAGTGGCTAACATACCCTCCAAAAAAAAAAGGGAGGGGGGGGGAGTGATGTCAAAATAAGCTTCTCAATATTGAAGTTAGAAAAAATGGCAGTTTTGAATTTCCGAAGGAAAATTATATCCAACCCTGAAGTCAATGCTCAACCAGACCATGACTTCAATGAGAACAGATTAATCACATTTACAAACATACAAGGAAGAAATGTGTCACCAAAATGAAGGCATTAAGCCAAAAATGAGGAAATAGAAACTCTTAACACAGAACAGAATCCTCAAAATGGTAAGGGGAGAGCCCTTGATAATAGCTATGCAACAGGAATATAGGGCTAACACATCAGTCAAAATAGGAGCAGATCAAAGTCTCCCAGAGATATTTCTTCAATGAAATAACATGACAGAATATCTGATATACACAACTGTCTTTAGGAGAAATTTAAACAACTGGCAAAGTGGCTGGGGTGTAACTATTAACATGTTCACAAAAGCTCTGAGCAGAGCCTGACCAGCATGGCTCAGTGGTTGAGTGCCGACCTATGAACCAGGAGGTCAGGGTTTGATTCAGTCAGGACACAAAGGCTGTGAGCTCAAGCCCCATTGGGGGCATGTGGGAGATAGCTGATCAATGATTCTCTCTCATCATTGATGTTTTTTTCTCTCTCCCTCTCCCCCTCCCTCCCTTTCTGAAATCAATAAAAATATATTTTTTTACAAGTTGTGTGTACAAATATATAAAGCTATAAGCAAATGAAAAACAAAAAAAATCATCTTACATCAGAAAGATAAAAAGATGTATGGGGGGTGGGGGGGAGAGTAACCAGTTTACTAAATAGATCATCTTTGATAGCATACAGAATCACAGTAAAACTGCTCTAATAAAATTATATAGTATAAGGATGAGACAATGTACTTTTGTGTGATAGGGACCAGAGAAGAATGCTAAATCATAATCCACAGTGGGAAGTCAATAAAAATACCTACATCAGAATAATCATAAAGTAGCAATATACATATTACTCAGAGACATGGAATAAATGTCTCTGGGGAAAAGAAAATAAGTAGTGAGTACTGGAAACTCTTAGAACTAGTCAATTCTTTAAACTATGTAAATGTATAATTATGTCAACAAATTGGTATAAACTCAAAACTCATCAAAATGCTCAGCAAGTTGACAATTTCTCACATCTGTCCCTACACCTATGATTTTCTAGGTAACCTTTGAGAGGATTACCTTGTGCCATTAAACGAGGTGATTTTCTTGGTGATCTCACTGAATTTTCTTCTACTTTGTCCCTCAAATTCCTGTTAGGTAAAATCAGTTCTTCTTCATCAATGGTATCATTGCCACTTTCTTTAACAACTCCTTCGTCCATAATATCGTCAAGACCAACAACTAGAAAAAAACAAAAACAACCAAAAAAATTACTTCTAAAAAATACTGGGGGGTGTTAAGTACTTAATGGCCTTAATTTATTGTGAGAATTTAATGCAGTAATACATAGGCTAGAAATCTAGGTCTATTCCTACTATGTGATATTGCCACTACCTAGCTCCCAATTCAGGTTTACAAACTTCTACCTTATGAGGCAACTAGGAAAGTCTATAATCTTTCTTGATTTGACCTCCACTATCACTGTCACTTATTCACTGTACCTTTGTGAACATAACAAGCAATCAGTACCTGATTACCGATTTTTGTTAAAGTAGTTCAAAAGAGTTTAAATCCTAAAAAGCTTGTGATTCTAGGTTCATGCTAGAACTAAAAGATTCTAACTTTATATGCTACATGTGTAAAAGTATTATAGATGTACTTTTCAGTAATACACAGACACAAATTAAAACCTTGTGAAACTTTCCCTTTCCTCAAATGCTAGGAAAAAATGGTAGTTGTTGCCCACCTGGCATGGCTCAGCGGTTGAGCACCAACCTATGAACCAGGAGATCACAGTTCAATTCCTGGTCAGGTTATATGCCCAGGTGTGGTCTCAGTCCCAGTGAGAGGTTGTGCAGGAGGGAGCCAATTAATGATTCTTCTCTCATCATTGGTGTTTCTCTCTCTCTCTCTCCCCCTCCCTCTTCCTTCCTCTCTAAAATCAATTAAAAAAAAAATTTTTAATGGTAGTTGTAATATAGCTATATAATCAAATTATTTTCTTCTACTCAAAAGAGAGTGGAAAGATATGGAAAAGGATTGAGAAATACTGAAGAAAATATAAATACTGAAACACTATACTTACACTGTTACTGGGTTTATTTCTTGTATAATAAATATATCTTAACTAGCTGACATATAGCAATTCTAAATATGTAGCCACATGAAATCTAGTAAAATGAATGTGATTATTTTTATCAGAAGGCCCAAATTCAAATCCCTGCTAAAATATACATATACATATAAATAAAAAGATGTAATATGCAAATTAGGCCAGAATACTGTAAAGGTCATGACAGCTCAGGATGGGCCTGGTGCAGGCCCAGGGCCTGAGAGAACAACAGACAGGGCGGTGGCCCGAGGCTGGCCCCGGAGAGAACAACCCGCAGGGGGATGGGTTTGATTCTGATCAAGGGCATGTACCTAGGTTGCAGGCTTCTGCCTGGTGGGGGGCCCCCTTACATTGATGTTTCTCTCTCTCTTTCCCTCTCTCTTCCAAGCTCTCTAAATATCAATGGGAAGCCCTAACTAGTTTGGCTCAGTGGATAGAGCGTTGAGCTGTGGTGTGAAGGGTCCCAGGTTCGATTCCGGTCAAGGGCATGTACCTTGGTTTCGGGCACATCCCCAGTGGGGGGTGTGCAGAAAGCAGCTGATTGATGTTTCTAACTCTCTATCCTTCTCCCTTCCTCTCTGTAAAAAAAAATCAATAAAATATATTTTAAGAAGTAATAAAATAAATATCAATGGGAAAATATCATCATATGAGGATTAAAACAATGTCATATCCTTATGAAACTTGAAAACATCTAAAGAAAGTTGTCATTTTTTCATTGTGAAGGGACAAGAGTCTGTGTTGATGAAAACCCGTTGGCAGCTGAGGCGGTGGCAGCAGCAGCAGGGTGATGGTGGCGCCTTCTCCTCATCAGCCCAGGTGCCTCCCACAGCAGGACACCCCGAGGGCTCCGGGACTATGAGAGGGGGCAGGCTGGGCTGAGGGACGCGATCCCCACCCCCCCACAAATTTTGTACACTGGGCCTCAAGTCTATAATAAAAGCATAATGTTAATTAGACCAGATGTCCTTCCAGAAGGCGGCAGGGGACAGGGAGCAGGGCAGGGTGCCAAGTCAGAAGAGGCCGAGGCAGAGGTGGCACAGCTTATAAATGATTTTTCCCTCATCATTGATGTTTCTATCTCCCTTTCACTTCTCTCTGAAATCAGTAAAAATATATTTTTAAAAGCCTGCTTTAAAAAAAAAAAAATTATATGTGGTAATACTGAAATTCAATTGTAAGAATGACAGAGTATATACTTTTTTTCAATTCTGTCAAGCACAGATAAAACAAAAGGGAGAGCTGGACACTCCACTCCATCCTGTTAACTTATAACACGTATCTATGGAAAACGACTAAAAAAGCTGGTAAATTCAGCCGAAACCGGTTTGGCTCAGTGAATAGAACGTCAGCCTGAGGACTGAAAGGTCCCAGGTTCGATTTCTATGTACCCTGGTTGAGGGCACATCCCCAGTAGGGGGTGTGCAAGAGGCAGCTGATCCGATGATTCTCTCTCATCGATGTTTCTAACTCTCTATCTCTCTCTCTTCCTCTCTGTAAAAAATCAATAAAATATATTTTATAAAAAAAAAAAAAAAAGAAAGAAACCTAAAACCTGATGAACAATATTAACTGTTGATTATAATAGAATCAGAGATACGCGAGGGGAGTGGACTGACAATTTTCGGGGAAAAGGGGAGTGGTGGATGCGGGAAGAGACTGAACATAAACTGTGCACCTTTGGATGAGGACAATGGGGGGGGGAGAAAGGGCAAAGAGTGGGGTGGGAACCTGGTGGAGGGGGGAAGAAATGAGGAACCTTTGTAATAATATGAACAATAAAGATTGATTTAAAAAAAAAACCCTAAATTCAAAACATGAAAATCTAATTTTATAAATATGTATCAGATTATTATAAGGGCTAAAAACTTACTAAAGGTTTTTATTTGTCTTTAACTCCCAGGCAACACTGATTATGATTTTAAGAAAAATGCTGAAATATACATACCAAATTTTCAATTGAATTAGCTGTGTCTCAATGTTTCTAAGAACAAGCACACAGAAAAGGCACTGGGACACCCACTGGCCAATTCTGGAAAAACTACAGTGACCAAGGTTAACACTGTTATTACAAGCTGGTGTGTTTGCTAAGTACCAGGGAGTACTTAGGTACAAGAGAGATACATCAATTGGCTGTCTTCAATATGGGCCCACCTGGGATAGAACCTGCAACCTAGCTATGTGCCCTGACCGGGAATCAAACCTGTGACTTTCTGATGCATGGGACAACACTCCAACCAACAGAGCCAAAACAGCCAGTGCTAAATCTTACTTTTATTTCTTATGTTTTTCTTTTTAGGTGGGAGAGCACATGGCAAATCATTGTCTTCACAATTCATTTGCATGGATCACCAATTAAGACTCACTTGTGTAAAACTAAATATGAATGTAATAATGTAAACACAACCCAAGAGGTTACTAGAACTATTTAATATTAACAATAAATAGATTTTAATTTGATAAAAGGGACTAACTAATCACTACTTAAATTAATGTATGTATATATGTATGTATGTATATCTTTCATTTACTATTTTCCTACTTGGAATGTATCTCACTGACCAGGATCTTTTTGTTGCTGTTAATCCTCACCTGAGGATATTTTTCTATTGATTTTTAGAGAGAATGGGAAAGAAGGGGAGAGACAGAGAGAGAGAGAGAAACATCAATGTGAGAGAGATGCATCGATTGGTTGCCAACTGCATGCACCCTGACCAAGGCCAGCGATCAAGCCTGCAACCAAGGTACATGCCCTTGACCGGAATCCAACCTGGAACCCTTCAGTCCGGAGACTGATGCTCCAATCACTGAATCAAAGCAGCTGAGGCACTGACCCAGAATCTTCAAAAGGCTGGCCATTTCTTATCTCTAAGGATGCTGCTACTCTTAAGGTCACTTACACAGAGGCCTGCGCTAACCAGCCCAAATCAAATAAACCATTGCCTCCCACTGCCAATCAACCACACATTTTGTATCATCTTAAACTTTACTTAAGCTCCATAAGGACAGGTACATTGGTCTCAAACACCACTGTATCCTCCCAGCAATGGAAAGAGTCTGGCATACAATAAGAATATTTGTTAAATGAACTAATAGTACCAAACTACTTTTATGCCAAAACAAATCATTTTACCTCACAATTGTGGAACCACGAGCCAAATTGTTCATACCTGGAAATGCTATTTAATAAGAATGTTACCATAAAAAAAAATCCGTTTTTAAAAATGCAACCCTACTCTTATAATATGGATCTTATCGTTATTTATTGGTCTCATATGTCAAAAAATCAGATCTCAACCAGGCACTTTGATACACTGTGTTCAATTTTACTCAAATAAAAGAGAAAAACCAGAGACAAGGCTCAAGAAAAAGTTCTAAAAAGATAATATCCCTAATCTGTATCAGCACAGGAAAAGGTTTTAATGGGATACACAATATTAAACAGAACAGAAATTCCATGAGGGCAAGAATTTGTCATTTTACTTTCTGAAATATCCCTAATTCCTAGAAGAGCAGCTAAAACATACAGTACCCGGTGTTAAAAATCAACTCAAATTAAAAAAAAAAAAAAAAATACATGAATATATACAAAAATGTCATAGTTCCCAAGTTCTATCTCAAGAGATTAGAACCTCCACATTAAACTTCACTCCAAGCAAGAAGTTACCCTCTACTCCCATCACAGTAGTGTTGATTAACTCCTTGCAGAACGCAGAGTTAGACTACAATAGTTTAGAAAACAGAGATTTGAAGAAGTGTCCCAACATCAAACAACCAAACAACAAAAAAACTCCTCACCAGAAAGACACCATTTTTCAGGGTATGTGCATAGCAACCAAGGACTACCTAGAGCTACAACTAATAAAATCTCTATCTAAAAAACTTAGATCAAGTACATTAAGACATAGTAAAGACATAACCTCCCATTAACAATACCAAGGAGAACTTCAAGCGAACCAACATCAAAATTATGGGGGTCCCAGAAGAAGAGAGAGCAAGGTACCGAAATCCTATTGGAAGAAATAGTGATAGAAAAACTCCCCTACCTGGTGAAAGAAATAGACTTACAAGTCCAGGAAGTGCACAGAACCCTAAACAAAAAGAATCCAAAGAGGACCACACCAAGACA